CCAACCTCCCAGTTCCTCTGGAGCTTCTGGGAAGCCTCAGCCACACGTAACCTGGGTATGCTTCAAGTGACTGTCACCACAAGCATAAATCAAGTAGCTAGTGACTTTTTGGGTGATTTGTCATGGGATGATAAACACTCAGCTTGCCTGCAGACTTCAGGTGCACATGACAGCCTCCATCCATGTGTGCAATGGAGTATGGATCCAACACGAGACATACAAGTCTCAAAGGGGTCAGGAGACTGCGAGAGGCCTGGATGTCTCCTCATGGCTCTGCTCAGACAGGTACGCTGGAAGCTGGGAGCTGATGGTCTTCCTGGCTCAGCAATAGTCTGTGCATGTATCCTCCCAGGGCTTCCCCAGGGCCTCTTCTCCAGAAGGAACCCAGGCCAAGGAAAAGCATGCCTAAGGGTTTAACTATTGACTCCTCAGCCCTTCTTCCAGACCATAAATGTCCCAGTTAGACTTCACAGAGGGTAAAACAGAGCATAATGCGGTAGTTTATACGTAATAACAAAAATATTAATTTTTTTTATATTAATAAGTTGGTTGAAGTTAGGAGGGATGGATGGGACATCACACTTACTAAGGTTTGCCAACATTTCTTACACAGGCCCATCTCCTAACCGCATTTAGCTTCCTGTTTTCTGGTTGCATATAGCTGTGCCAAGCTTTAGCTATTGGACTGGCTTGGGTGGGGTGTCTGGTTCCTACTGGAGTTTTTGGATGGATGGCAGGGAGGTGGGGAATTTCAGCCCACGGTCTTTGGCTGGTTTTAAAATTGGACTCGAAAAAGCCACATTATTCATCTTATGTTAAGAAAAGGCCAGCAAAGCTTTGCTGGAAAGGTTCCTCCAAAGATTTGAGCATTGGCTCTGTGTTGCATGTCTGTATTATGCCTTCACTATGGGAAAGTCAAAATTTGTCCCATGTTAGGTTTTCAGTAATTACTTGAGATTACAGTGTGGTCATGCTCAGAGAGTCCCGGTAGTTTTGCAGGTAAACTCCTTGAAGATGCTGCATTGGTTTGGCCCTGCTGGTGGTGCATGGGAAGACCAAGTGCCTGGGACTGATTTTCTGTCCTGGATTTGGTAGGATGGAGATTTGCAAGTCTTTCCTCTTCATTTGGGATGGCAGAAGAATAAGCTAGAGGAGGCTTGGCCCACATGTGTGAACCTGAGGACTGTCCCAGAGGCTTGTTTTGACCTCCTGTCATGGTTTCAGCCCAACCAGTAACAAAACACCATGCAGCCGCTTGCTCACTCCCCTCGCCCCTGGTGGGATGAGGAGAAAATATAAAGCAGGCTCACGGGTCGAGACAAGGACAGGGAGGGATCACTCCCCACTTACAGTCACGGGCAAAAGACAGGCTCAGCTTGGGGAAGAAACAAAATCAATTTAATTGACTATCAATCAAATCAAACCAAGGATACTGACAAGTAAAACCCAACCTGAGAACAGCTTCCCCCCCAGCCCTCCCGCCCTCCCGCCTCACCCCACTCCCTGTTCTCTCTCCCTGGGGAACAGGGGACGGGGGCTGGGGTCGGCTCCTCACCCCTTGTCTCTGCCGCTCCTTCCTCCTCAGGGGGAGGAGGACTCCGCGCTCGGCCCCTGCTCCGCCGTGGGGTCCGTCCCTCCCGCGGGAGACAGCCCTTCCCCAACTTCTCCAGCGTGGGTCCTTCCCGCGGGCTGCAGTTCCTCACAGACTCCTCCAGCGCGGGTCCCTTCCACAGGCAGGGGGCAGTCCTTCCGTCACAGACTGCTCCAGCGCGGGAGCCGCCGCCATTTTGGGGGACATCCGCTCCCCCGCTCCCCTCCACGGGCTGGGGGGGACAGCCTGCCGCCTCCCCGCGGGCTGCGGGGGCATCCCCTCCTCCTTCCCTGACCTCGGGATCCGCAGAGGGGTTCCTCTCACATCCCGCTCCCCCGACTCCCTCACGGGGCGTTCGTTCCCCTTCTGAAATCTCTTCTCCCAGAGGCGCTCCCGCCGTCGCTGAGGGGCTCGGCCTGGGCCAGAGGCGGGGCCGGCTCCGAGCCGGGGCAGCTTCGAGCAGCTTCTCCCAGGAGCCGGCCCTGAGGCCCCTCCCCTGCTACCAAAACCCCGCCACACAAACCCAAAACACCTCCCTTGGGAGGGTCAGCTCCTGCGGGTGGGATTCTGGGCCACAGGAGGCTGATGTACCCGTGTCCCAGGAAGTCTAGGCTGGCCTTTCTCTTGTCAGGGAGAGGCGGGCTGGCTGAGAGAGAGGCCAAAGGCCCACAAGGGCAAGCCCAAGAGAGGGTGTAAGCAGATCCTTCCACAGAGTCTTGACACAGATATCTGCTGCCAAGCTCCTCCATGGGCTCTCTCCAGCCATTGGAAAGCAGCTGGCACACCTAGGGCCTGATCTACCCAGCTTGAGGTAGACTCTAACAGCACATAGGCAATGGTGCCCTGTCTGTCTGTCTCCATCAACTCTATAGCAAGCCTGGCCTGCTAGCTCAGGCAGTTGTCTGTAGATGACACCATCTGTGGTGACCAGACATGCTCCTCCAGCCCGGGGTTGCCTCGTGGAGAGGCGTCCCTGTCTCTGCCAGTCTGCATTGTACAATACACTCTGCAAGGGAAATGTCATTACATCAATGATTTTGATAGTTCAGATTTGCTTACAATTGGCTCAAAGACCTCTAACCTGGCTCTTGGTTTGTTGGTGGGCCTGGGAAGGACTGTTGGGGGGGGGGGGATTAATCTGTAACACAGGTGTCTCCGTCTGTGGATCTGGTGGGTGAAACTGGACATTCAGTGGGCTCATCATCAAGTTTCTTCTGAAACCTGCAATCACACAGTCCCTTTGCTCTGCTTTAATTGGTCAGGGGGGACTTGATAAAGAAAGAAGTCAGAAGCCCTTTCTAAGGATTACTTCTACCCTTGGCTGATGGACTGCTATGGTTGAAAACCAGGGAGGACCAGACTGTGCAGAGGGAAGACTATTTGCAGTGCTCTGCAAAGAACAGGCCATGGGGTGGGTCTGGGAAACAGTCTGATATGGAGCAGTGGCAGGGTAGCAGGAGATCAGTGGGGTTGTCCTCTCTGGCCTGGGTCTCACTTTCTCTGATCCCTTGTTACAGGCAGGGATCGTGCAGGGATCGGATACGCCTGGCTGTGCCTAGTACAATAGGTGCGGCGATGCTGCACACTCTGTGACAGCGGGGGATGCACACGGATGCACGTGGACAAGAGGTAAAACTGCCAGCATTGCCTCGAGGAGGGACCTGCCCCATCTCATCACATGGCATGTGCAGCCCTCAAGGAGTGTTTCTCCCCAAAACCATCCCACGCAGGGCTCTGAACTCCCCAGCCCACCATATCTCCCAGCTGTGGGGAGCAGAACATGGAGAGCGGGCCAGATCCTGGCTCCAGGATTGCCTGGGCTGTGGGACTGGAGCAAACTCAGCTGGGGATTGGGGTTCCCCTCAGGGTCTGTCCTGCTCATCCAGCAGCTCAGCATGTACCCCTGTGGATCTGCCCATACCCAGGCCATAGAGGGGTGTTTGGGGTAGAATCCCACCTCTCCCTTGCTCCTTGCCCAGATGCAGAGCAATCAGCAGCAGGGAGGAGGCTGCTGACATCTCCACAGGGTGAAGGGTTGTAAAAGCAGAGGCAGCTGCAGTCCAGCACCTCTTGTTACCAAGAGCTAGTAGAACCCTGTACTAGCCAAGCAGTTAGTGATTTTACTGCTCATGAGAGCTGCAGCTCAGCAAGTCAGAGCACCCAGAGCCCATTGCTGACCTCTGGGCAACCTCGTGGCTTCTCAGAAGTGATGTATAACCCCTGGTTTACAGAGAGGGAAGCTGAGGCAGGGAGTTTAAATGATCTGCTTGAGATGCAAGTTAGGAACAGAATTAGGGGGAAAACCCAGGGGTCCCATCTACCAGCTGTAATTAATTAGCCATGCTTCCTGTCCAGGTGAAGACAGATATTGTTTTAAAACAAAATCAGCTGTTATCATGGCTCAGCCTGAATGCCATACAGAAACTTCTGCTTCCAGAAGAGATAATTTTTGGTGGCACTTGGTTACAGCTCCAGGTGTTACAACAGAGAAAAGCTTGCACGGCACTGTGGGGCTACAGCCCATGGCTAAGGATGGTGCTTGTAAGACTTGCAAACTTTGCATGTTCACCAATAAGGTGCCTTTTTATCAAAAAGCTACTTGTCTCATTTGGTGCAATACAGAGTCCTTCCCTTGCCCTACAGAGAAAACACCCCAGGGTATATTCAGTAAGGACACTTTTGCCAGAGTCTTAGCTGGCAACTTATGACACCCTTCAGCAGTACTCGTGTGTTGGGAAAAGAGGAGTGTTACTCTGGCAGGCAAGAAGCTCTGCATAAACGCAAAGTCAGCAGGGAAAATCACACAGGTTGGCACATCCCAGCTGCTTAGAAGTGTTAAAAAAAAAAAAAAAATCACACCTATCTCCTCTTTCCCCTATTTCTCCCATTTCTGGCCAGCAGGGAATACTTGGGAATAGCACCCTGGTAGCCAGCCTGGGAAAAGCAGCTGTGCTATGTTCCTGTCCCCAGCCCTGGGCAGCTGCCTGCCACAGCTGGGGCACCAAGAGCCTGTGTGGTATGGGTCCCCTGTGCTTGAGGCTGGGGCTGACTGGAGGTTATGGGAGCAGCAGGAGAAGGCGGGTGCCTGGACCCCTGATGGATCAAGACCACAACGGCAGATTTTCCTCTCCAGATCTCACTGTGCTGAGTAACAAGCATTAGTCTTTGCAAAAGCAGCAAAACCCAGTATGGTCCTTCCTTGCTTTTACAATGAGGGGTCGAGAAGGGTGGGGGGCATTTTCCTGTGCTCTGCTTCAAACTGCTGCCCTACTGAGCTGCTAACGACAAGCCCATGCCTTTCTGACAGCCCTCACGGGCGCTTGTGACGTGGATTCTTTTCCGTTGTAGGTAGTACCGAGCCTGAGCTGAGTGCGGGGAGGGAGCCCGTAAGCGCTGGGACAAGCAGAATATGAGCGAGAACAGCCACTTTCCATGGTCTGCCGCAGATTGCTGTGAGCTGCATTCCTCGGGCTCGCAGCCGGCCGTGCTGGCCTGCAGTGATGGGGACGAGCAGCTCAGCCAGCCTCCGGAGTCTGCCAGCGGGAGAGCCAGCCCCCGGGTCGATGCTCAGCCCTCCCAAGGAGTGGAGGGGGAGCGCGGGGGCCAGGGGGATGAACATCTGGAAGCAACGACAGAGCCGGGCGAGAGTCAGGGTGAGCGGGGACCAGGGACGGGTGCCACCAGTGAGAGCAGCCATGAGGATGGGCCGGCGCTGGCAAACGGCGTGGATGCAGAGCTGATCGTGGGGCGGGAGCAGACGCCGCTGCAGCAGCGGGACGGTGGTGTGCCCAGCCGAAACAGTACGGATTTGGGGGAGAGGGGCTCCCCAAGCCAGGAGATACCTAGCGAGGCCCTCAGCAACGAGCGGTGGCACAGTGTTCTGGGATCCTCAGAAGCTCTAAGTGCTGACGAGCCAGAAGAGCAGCTTGGGTGAGTGTGAAGCCTTTGTAACGTCGGCTCAGTGCTGGTTTATATGTGTTTTTCAAGCCTCCTTGGTTCGAGTTACTCTGCTCCGTGTGTAACTCATCAGTTTAAAAAGCTGCAGCTGCTCTCATGGCTGACTGTGGCTTTTCACTCTTTTTCTCTCTGGGCTTCTCACATTGCTTTTCCCTGTTACAAATGCAGAAAAGCTGTGATTAGAGCCAGTGTCTGCCCACAGAGTCACTAAAGCGAAGGAGAAGCTTTAGGGATCTCAAGAGTGCTGGGTGCTGGTTGTGCTTACTTTGGGGGTGTCCTACATGCAAGTTGGAGATTCAGCTCAGCACTTGTGGCAGAGTTACCAGAGATAATTTAGGATAAGTTGAACAGCCTGGGGATGACAGAAAGCTAGGCTTGTCTGGGAGACTGGTACGCCCTGGAAGTCCCTGGCAGCATGGCTTGCTCTAGCAGTCCCTGGGCTAGCATGTTACAGCTTTGTATCCAAAGGGCCATGCCATTAGTAAGAGAGGGCAAGGCACTGAGCTTTGCTCCCTGCTGCACCTGTGGCAGGTGTTACCAGTGCTTGGGTGGCACAGGGATAGCAGTGTGAGTTGAGATATGAGCGTCATCCTATTTTCAAGTGCCTGAGGCAAACCAGCACGTGTGCAATGCCCCTCAGTCTCTGTGTCCTCTCTACTGGCAGCCTGACTTCACAGGATAACCCTCCAGGCTGGGGAACGCTCACACCGGTGCAGTGTCCACAGCTGATTTCATGCCTCTGCAACTGCCTAGACCTCCCTGGGGTTCTGCAGGTTGAGGGCTGAGGGGAAATGACTGGTCACTGGGATGAGGCGGGGTGCTTCCTATGCCATTCCTGTGGGAGAAGTACAGATGCTTCCCTTTGCCACCAGAAATCATCTGAGGGTCTGTATTGTAGCCACCCAGGGTTGATGGCTGCTGTGAATTTTACGGCCCTGCCTACATACCTACCCCAGCACAGGAGAGATGCTGCAAGCAGGAGGGGGCTGGAGAAGAGCAGCAGAGGTTGTCACAGAGGAGTGTGGCCTTCTTAAGAGCAGAATGTATGAAAGGGACGGGGTGGCCAAGAGGGGCCTGTGAATCACCTCCTAGTTTTAGTCCAGTGCAGGCTTCAGGCTGCGCCGTTTGTTCAGAGCGCTGTCTGGAGCGTAGGCAGGAGTGTCAGCAGAGCTGGGAAGCCACACAGCATGTGGGCTGACAACAGGCGTCCCTAATTCATTGCGTCTCTAGTGTTGAACAGGCTCCCCTATAAAAAGCTGGTGGTTTTTTTTACCCAAGGCCCCCAGCAAGAAGGAGCAGCACTGTTTCAACATGCACTATTGAAAGTATCAAAGAGGAAGAGTGTCCAGTGCAGGCTGCTGATGTCCAGAGAGCTAGAGGAGTCTACCCGCAGGTAGGTCCCACAAGCCCTGTAAGCTATGCAGTCAGGTCTTGGATGTCTGCAAGTCTCTCAGGTGCAAGGGAATCATATTTGCTTGGTATGTGGCTCCCTGGCAGGGATTGTGAGTTCAAGAGGAATCTAAGGGTGATCAGTGAATGCTGCTACAATCACTGAAAGTGCAATTATTTTAAGGTACTAGGGCATGAATGGGGAGAAGTGGCAGGCTGAGGATTTGGAGATGATGCAACCTGACTGGGCTCTGCATGCACAGCTCATGATTTTATGCTCTAAACATATTCACTCGGATAGCAAATAAGTCTTTTGGGAAGCTGAATGCTCAAGGGACAAGTCACACACTATATTCAAAGGCAGAAGGGCAGTTAGAAAACTTCAGGGACACAGCTGAACTCTGGGAAACCACTTATTGCCTAGGGATTGGGTTAGCTCGCTGTGTTTGAGCTCCTTAATACTTTGACCACCTATCTTTAGACTAAACGGCAGAAACGTGGCTGGGACAAACACAGCATGGAGCTGGTTCTTTCCTGACCATAGCTGACTCTCTGGCTCTCCTAGATCAGTGTGGATCAGGAGTAACAAACCTGACAGATGGACCAAGGCACTGGGAAGTCACTGTCATCCTGCATCATCTCTGAGTTTCCCCAGTTCTTTCTTTACTCCCGTTCGGTATGTTGCTGTTTCTGTTATGACCCATTCTGGATATAGGAGAACCTGGGGTTTGTCTGTCTCTGGCCTAATGTTTTACCGATGAGCAGTCAACTATTCATTCCTGGGGAACAAATCACTTGTCATCATCCGCCTGCTGGTTCTCATATGATGCACTTTGTCCCTGGAACTTAAAATACTTCACAAGAAGGGGTTGAGTCTTGCTCTTCCCACTGAACCAATGGAGAATTAAAGGGGAAAAAGTCATCCAAAGTCATCAACTCCATAGTGGAGCTGGAGAAAGAAACCATGATTGCCCCGCTAAAGGTAGGTTAGTGCGTCTATGCAGGAAGTGGTTGTTAAAAAAGTAAAGGAAATAAAGCCAAAGCTTTAGTGCTTGTGCTGCAGTTTGCATTAACTGAATCCCTTTTACCTCCTTTCTAGTTTATCCCTTGGCATCCATTGGCATGCCAATATACCATTTGTCAAAGCCCCATTTTCCTATCATTGTGGCTATGTTGCCTAGAGGTCTTTCACTTTCCCAGAAGCCCCCAGCATTAGCCTTGCTGATCTCAGGGAGGTTGCAGCTCTGCAGTCAAACTGAGAGCTTCACCAGTGAATGATATTTTCTGCTTTCAGCCCCATGAACTCATGCAAAAAGGTCAAACTTTTTAACAGAGGAATCCCCACCTTTGGCTTGTAGATGTGCTTAGTACCTGCAGGTTTGGGACTGCTGCCTTTGCCCACATGTTTTCTCCCATGGCAACATACAGCCATCAAGCAATTCAAATTCCATTAAATAAAGTTTCAGAAAAACTTTGCAGAAAGTCTGCAGTGCATAGGCAAGAAAATCCTGATTTCCATCCTGTCCTTCTCCGACAGGACTCCCCACTCCACCAACACAGCAAACTAGGTTGTACTTTATTACAATTAATTAACCAGTGAGAATTGAAATGTAAACAACTCAGTGCATAAGAATCCAGTATGGTTCAGCTGCAATAATAACCAAGTGCATTGCTCTGCATGCCTCGCCGTAAGCAATAAAACAGCATTTCAGACATGACTGGGAAAAGCAGCACAGGCAATTAGATACAGTATTACTTCAATACGCTTACAAAACCTTGTGATTACAATGCAAATAAATATACAGCTCCTTATTTAAGTAAAGCGATTGCTTTCCCTGCTGTGTAATAAGTATGCAACACTTCTCTGTGGGGAGGCATGTTTATTCACATGAGCAAGGTCTTTCACTGTCTCCCACCTTAGCCTGGCTTTGTTTGAATTAGGTGCAGATGGTGCTCCTAGGCTGGTGTAAGCTGTAGAAAGTCTTTGTCCTCTGTCTTCTCTGGGACCACGCAAGGAGAGATGTGATTTGCCTGACTTGTTGGTGCCCACTGACCCATCCAGGACCATGGCTCCTGCCCCAGTCCCTGCGTTCTGTCCCATGCAGTCTTTGCTGGGGCATTTGTAGGGACACAGACTTTCTCACTTTGTTGCCTGCTGTATGAGTTTGGGCTCAAGGAATAAGTAAAGGGCTGGAAAAGCCCTGTGGTGTGAACAGTTAATGGAAATGATTCTGTTCAGTGGGGTGAGAGAGCGGGAGCTGTCTGCCTTGGGATTATGGCAAAGTGGAACCTGCTAAGTAATATCCAGGAGGTGCAGGGCTTGATGGCTCTTGAAGGGCTTGATGTCCAGAAGCACCCACGGGAATACCTACAGGCACAGCTGCAGTGTACAACATCCCTGGAAACACATGCTGAGCACCAAACCTCATGGGGATGTACCAGGGCATGCCGTCCTGCATGGGTGCTCCCGCACAGACATGCTGGTGATGGGAGTGAAGGGATGCAGGCCAAGGAGTGGTGTGATGACCTGGGGAAACCACAAAGACCCAGGGTTTTTCTTTGGTGTGGGGAAGACACAGACCCTCTGTAGGGGAGGGGATGTGGAAGTTCACTGGGGATGAGGGATGTTGCAAGAAGTTTGGTAATGGGATGAGCTGCCAAGGCAGGTCCATAATTCCCACTGCTGGGTGTAATTAAGGCTGTAAAGTCCTTCCTGTCACAAGGGGAAGTTTTTAAAGTTCGTCCTGCTTTGTGGCAGGAGATCTTTTCTGTACACAAAGTCATGGCCAGGCTATGTGTATCTGTCATTGCAGTGTTCCCTCATTACACTGGTTTTGTGTTAGTTGTCCACTCTATCTCCTCTTACGCTATGACTGTCTTTGGTTGTTGTGGATTCTTGGGGTGAGAAGATCCCTGTTGGCAGAGTACGTCCTATCCTGTAGGCTTGGGTCTTTAAACACACTGGCTGTAGCAAACAAGGGTGATAACTTTGAGGACTTCCCTATATGAAGGGATGCCGGGTCCCATTTTACTCCCTGGAATTAGTGTTCATGTAAATGCTGAGTTCTTGCTGCCCATGCTGATGAGGGTGTTGGAGGACTACCGGTCTGTGTAAGGATCACCGCTCGGGCATGGTCTATCCTGTGCTGCCCATGAGAACTGGCTGCTCCACAAAAATGATGATGATGGTTCCCAGATGGGTGTGTTATTATCGGTGGCAAGATGTGCATTCCCTAGCCCTTAGGGCCACTGTGTCCTGAAATGGCCAGCCATCTTCCACCCTGCCTGAGGCATTTTGAAGGGCTAGGGTTTCCAGGAATGGATGACAGTCGATCCGTATATCTGGGCCAGTAAATTCAGGGCCTTACTAACCTGCTCTCTGCTCAAGAGGCAGCCTTCCCTCCTTGCTATTTGCTCAGCTGTGCAGTGGAAGTACAGGCAAATCCCTCCTGCCTTGAGGGAAGGAAGTATGCACCCTAGACCCTGTAATGGTACAAGTAGACCTGGCTTCAGGGCTCCAGTGAGCCTCGGCCCAAGCACGGCAGTGATGTTCAGGGGTCCGTCTCCATTATGAAACCAGACAGCCTTTCCTGAATGCAAATAGCTGGGAGCTGGAAATGGGGCTGGCTGTGGGGGCTGTCAGGGAGTGGTCGCTTTGATTTCCCTGTTCTCCGCTGTCTGCTGGTGGAGATGGGATACAAGACTATATCTCTCTACCTCTCTTTACTTTTGCTATGAGCAGTTCCATGGAGTGCAGTCGTGTGCCTCAGCTTCCCCACCTAAAAAGACTAAGCTGTTTTGTAAAATGCATTGAGAAGTGGCCAGGCTCCTAGGAGACACTCTCATGGCTCTGCCATGTCTGGCTCACAAGTGTTTTGCTGCTTCTGTGCTAGACCTACTACCTCCCAACATCCATTTCCAGTGTCTTCTGTGCCAGGTGATGTGGAAGGCAGAGAGTAGGCTGTCACTGATGCCCAGTAGGAAACATTGCTAACAGTAGCTGGGTTTGGGCATGCACAGGTACAGTTCACTGGCACAGGAAACTTGCTTATCCCTCATCCACCCCCAGAATTCATCTCAGGGAAACGTATTCTGCTGCAAAGTGAGGCTGTGCTCATTAGCAGGGGCACTAGGCACAGCCACGATGCTGACACAGGATTTCCAAACTGAGACAACCGTAGTGAGGAGGTGCAGTGTATTGACTCCAACCAGCAACTAAGCACCTATCCAGCCACTTGCTTACCACCATCCCTTGTGGGATGGGAGAGAGAATTAGAAGAGCAGAAGTGAGCAGACTTGTGGGTCAAGATAAAAGCAGTTTAATAAGTGAAGGAAAAAGAAAAAATGTTATGCAAAAGCAATCACTCAACATCTCCCATCAGCAGACCAATGCCCAGCCAGTCTCTGAGCAATGGCTGCTTTGAAAGACCAATCCCTCCCACCCCCCTTTTTTTCTTTTTGCTGAAAATTACATTATATGACATGGAATATCCCTTTGGTCAATTCCGGTCAGCTGTCCCAGCTGTGTCCCCACCCAGCCTCTTGCGTACCCCCAGCGTACTTGCTGGGGAGTGAAAAATAGAGAAAGCCTTGATGCTGTGTGGGCACGTTCAGCAATAGTTAAAACATCAGTACATTATCAACACTGTTTTAGTCACAAATCCAAACCACAGCACCATATGTGCTGGTACGGAGAAAGTTAACTCTGTCACAGGCAGAGGAAAAGCAGCTTACTGTTCCCCTAGCTTTCACCTGTATCACAGCATGAAATGTCTGGTTCTGACAAAGCAAATGACACCAGCATCTGCTGGAAGTGGGGAGGCAGGTTTCACCTGAGAAACCCAGGGTATTTCAGGCAGGTCCTTGCAGCCTGGTCTATTCCAGGAGGGCCTGAGCCCTCCGAGCTCTCCAGGGCTCCCAGCACAGTGGGTGTTGCTGGATTTGACTCAGATTAATTCTCCCCGTGTGGGTTCATATTGAGATGTACACTGGAATGAAACGCCCCTGCATTCAAAGCCAGTGTCGATTGCTGAGGGTCATCCATGCTTACTTGGAAGCTAGGCTTGTAGGTTCATGCACTTCACAGTCTGTAATGCTGTGCCTGAATCCCACAGGCTAGCTGTAAAGCAGCATGGAGCCTCCCCTGCCTGGATGTGTGTCCATCACCTTTTACATCCCTCTCAGTGGAGAGAAAACTATTTGTAAGGTGCCTTGCACTTCTAGGGTGCCTCATCTAAGAAAAAAAGCTTAAGTTACAGCATATGAATTGCTCCCTAAGAGCTTCTGTTTTTTCTCCGCTATAAAAGGGATCAAGGACCTTTGCTGCCAACATCCAAATTTAGATGAAATGGCCTCGATCTTAAGGATTTTCATGCTTTTGAAGTAGCCATAATTGGAACACTTGAAGGGAGAGATAACCTGTAGATTAAATCCATTCTGGCAGTGGATCCAGTAGCAGGTGTCAGGTGCAAACATCTCCAGTTCAGAGGTCTGGCTTTTTACTGGGGCATGACCAAATTAAGGGTTGGCTGGGCCCCTGGGATTGCTCATCATAAAACTCTGCCTTTTTCAGCTCTACAGGCTTGTAAAAAAAATTTGGAACCAAGCAGGTTATACCACAGAAAGGTCCCAAGGGCCTATAATCACAGCATCCATTTCTGCCTCTTCTCTTGCTGCCTAGCTCCAAGTGGGACAGTGCAAGCAATTACCTTGACAGTATTTTCTACATTTCCCCTTTTGGTCCAGGTTTGCTTCTGGAGATGCCAAGCTGAACTGCAGTGAGGATGACAAGGAACATTTTCAATTCAAAGACATCAGGGATGGGTTCAGCTCAACCTTTGAGAAGATAGTTGAGTCTGACCTTATGAAGGGTACATACTACAGCAGCTTGGACTCTTTGGACGTCCTCTCTCTCACAGACGAGACAGACAGCTGTGTCAGTTTTGAGGCCCCACTTACCCCATTGATCCAGCAAAGGGTCAAAGAAAGCCCAGAGCTCTTGGAGCAGAAACTGGTAGCCCAGCAGAGAGAAGCCCTTCACCACATGGCTGCTGATAAGCAAGAGCAAGCAGCAGCAAAGCCAGTGGAGGGGGATTTTGGGAGCCCTCTCAGGCACTCAATTACCAGTAGCAGGTCGGAGAACGTGCTGAGCCGATTGTCCTTGAAGAGTATCCCAAATGGGTTCCATGTGGAAGGGTCAGAGGAAGATGCCACCAAGATCATTAACTCCATCAGGTAAGACAAGCTGGGAATTCCTTGGGCAAGGGCTCCTTGTCTTATGGGGTGCCAGTCCAGGAGCAAGGCTCAGGGGACATGATAGAGATGGAGCTGCTTTTTTCGCCCTTGTGCTTCCTCTCATGTGCTGCCAAATGCCAACAGGAAAAACCTTCCTACCTGTATATTAGGACTGCAGCTGGCGACCAAGGTGTCATGGCATTAAACCAGCCAGTCCCCAGTGGGCCTGTGTCTGAGTCCTCCCTGTTCTCAAACCCAGGACCCCAAACTGCAGGTGAGCTGCAGCGTCCTGTAGGAGCCCTGCGAGCCCAAGAAAAGCCAAGGCTCAGCACTTTGTGTTCACATTTGCTCTGGAGGGCACCACTGTTCATCTGGCTGCTCACAAATCCTGTCAGCAGGCAAAGCTGTGGGTCTTCTGGGTAGACCACTGCCTTATCTGCCTGATATCTGCAAAAGCCCTTGGCAGGTTGAAGGCAGTCAGGCACACTCTCAAACATGCTCTGAAGCACAGGGAAACCTCAAGGTTTCACTTAGGACTGGGTGCCCCTGTAGACGCGTAACCAAAGTTCTTCTACAGGCAGTGAGATCAGCAGAGACTTCGTCCTCTGGACCAGCTCAGACCCAAACCATCATCCCTTGGAGGCAGCAGCTCATCTGCAGGGCACTTCCTTGCATGAGGAAGCCAGGTGATGAGCAGCCAGGTCATGGGAGAGCTGGAGCGAAGCCATATGTCTACCTAGCTATCAGGCCTTTAGTGAGTCACAGTGGCCAAAAATGTGTGAATAGGTGCCATAACTGGCCTTGGGCAAGAAAATAAAGGGACACAGCTCCACCTACATGGTGCCAGTGGGGCTGCTCAGCGTGTTGTCTGTGGGAACAGCTGGCCACGACACCAGCAGGCAGCTGGGAGAGGAGCAGCCCACCAGTGACAGCAGGTCTGGTGCCAGTCCCATTGGCATGATTTGTACAAGTGCAGTTTCTCATCCTTGGCAAATAATCTGAACTGAAAAGCATACCATCTATCTCCCAAGATTTCCTGAATGTCCACAGCTCTGAAAGAGCTTGGTATCACTTTCCATACCAGTGGAGAGAGAGGAAGCCTAGAAAGGTGTTGGGGCTGCTGCTTGCTTTGAACAGATATGTCCTCATTTCTCAGGGAGAAGTCACCTTTTCTTCAGTCATTTTCTACAAAATTGTACTATTTCATTTGACCTGAAATGAAAGAGGGTTTGTCCAACGCCCAGTTCACAAATGTATTGTTTTTTCATATTTTTTTGGTTGGAACAAGAAGAAATCAAACTGTGGCATTTTCTGTGGGTTTCGTCAAGTCACATTGCTGCTCCTTGAATTATTTCTTGTTTCTGTATAGCGATGCCAGCTTGAAAGACGCACTGTCAGACTCTGACTCTGACATGGGCAGCATGGAGCAGCTTGACCAGGGCAGCACAGACACCTTGGCGAATGGCTGCAGGGCGGATAGTGAGGCTGCCAAGAGGCTGGCCAAGCGCCTCTACAACCTCGAAGGGTTCAAGCGCTGCGATGTGGCACGCCAGCTTGGGAAAAAGTAAGTGGGCTTTGCGTTGCAGCCAACCCTGCAAGGGGGTTGACTGAGATGGCAGCATTGAGCATGGCCAGCAGAAACACAGCTGTGTTGGGGAGGGAGTGGGGGAGCACTGGTTGTGCTGGGAGGACAGGACAAAGGCAGGAAGGGACAAGCCTGCTGTTACAAGGGCTTGCTGGGTGGAGTCATGACTGTTGGAGATCCTTCCAGTTGAAACTGGTCATCCTTCCAGTTGAAAGTGGTCCAAGCCCGATGCCCTTGCAATCTGAATCCTACAAGTTGTCTGTGTATATTGGGCATTAACTGCCACAAGCTGCTGCCCACCAGAACCAAGAGCTTCCTGCATTTGATAAGGGCCCAGGAAGACCCCCCTAAATCAGCCCCCAGGCTGAAGGGTTTGGGATCCAGACCTGGATCTGCACTGGGCTCCCTGCCAGTTCCCAGGTTTTTCATGTCTGCACCCCAAAATCTTCTTGCTGCAGTGCCTCCTAGACCCAGTCTGTATAGATGGCGTGAAGGGTTTGATGGAGAGCCAGATACACACTAGAGGTCCAAGCACCTCAGCTGGTAGTTTTGCCTGCATAAGGCAGAAGAGAAATAAAAAGTGCTTATTCAAAAGTGGGAGAGTTACAGAGATTTCTAAGAGACAGAGGAACAGTAATGAGTGTAGCAGTAACAGATTATTTTAGGATGCCAGTGGGTGTGAGGATATCAATCTCCATCATCCTTCTCCTGGATCAGATATAACCTGTGTTGCTGGGGGGGGTTATGTCCTTGAAATGTCTCACTCCTGTCCAGATCATCAGAACACAACTCCCTCAGCAAATACCCAAACTTTCAGTACCAAGGATTGTCTGTGACTCCCAGCTTAGTCCTGCGACAGAAGGAGCCCACGAATTATCTCCTAGAGGCTCTTTATATCACCTGGCAGCATCCCCATTCTTCTTTTTTTGCTGTGGTTCTTGTAGCCGGTGCACTGTTGGTTGCTGCTGCCTTAGGTCTAACATCCTTCTTCTTTCTTGCAAATTTGCTATGACAGCTCACTGAGTGGGGGAAGTTTCAAGCAATAGGTCTCTGGGGGTACATCTGAGTGTGTCCCTTTGCTAGTTCCTGCAGTCCTCACTCACACCTGCAATCCTTACACCTTGGAAAGCTGTTTGGTGACCCACATTTGGGAATTGATACAGCCTTTAAAAGAAAACTTTTGTTTTGATCATCTGCATTTTTGACATCTGAATAATTTCCTAGCACAAGACCTGAATAGAGCTGCAGGCTCTTGGACCAAGCAGGTGGATTTGCAGAGCAAGAAAGGAAGAAGGATGAGGATAGGTGTGTTTTAAGTTGGTCTTGCCCACTTAAGACAATCTTAAGACCAACCTACAGTGGTGGGAGCAGGGTAAGTTTAAGTGATGCTTTCAGGCCAGATCCATGTAGGAGGTGGGCTAGCTAGGAGGGTTGTGAAAAAAGTAAAAACTAATTTTAAAGCTTTTTAGCTCATTTTAACCTCTTTTTTTTTTTTTCTTTGTGAGCATTGAAAAATTTCTCAAAACCCCCCCCAAACCAAACCAAAACCATTCATCATTATCAAATAAGTAGTGTCACGGTTTAACCCCAGCTGGCAACTAAGCAGCACACAGCCACTTGCTCACTCCTCCCCCTACCACTCCTGATGGGATGGGGAAGAGAATCAAAAAAAAAAAGTAAAACACATGGGTTGAGATAAGAACAGTTTAATAATTGAAATAAAATACAATAACGACAGCAACAACAACAACAATAATAATAATAATAGTAATGGAAAGGAAGACAACAAAAAGAGAAGGTAATAAAACCCAAGAAAAACCAGTGATGCACAGTGCAATTGCTCACCACTCGCTGACCAATGCCCAGCCAGTCCCCGAGCAGCGATCAAACCCTCCCAGCCAACTCCTCCCAGTTTATATACTGAACATGACGTCCTATGGTATAGAATATCCCTTTGGCTAGTTTGGGTCAGCTGTCCTGGCCATGCTCCCTCCCAGCTTCTTGTGCACCTGCTCACTTGCAGAGCATGGGAAAGTGAAAAATCCTTGACTTAGGATAAGCACTACTTAGCAACAACTAAAACATCAGCTATTATTCTCATTATTCTCATACTAAATCCAAAATACAGCACTGTACCAGCTACTAAGAAGAAAATTAACTTTGTCCCAACTGAAACCAGGACAAGTAGAAAAGGCTTGATGAACAAGGAAATGCAGGTTGGATATCTCCAAATACTTTCTTTCCAGCTGACACAATTCTGTGAAATTAACCTCAAATCCAGAAATTACCTTTGTCTCTCTGAAGAGCATGTGTTTTGGCAACTGAACTCTCCATGGAAGATTCTTGTTCCTGGACTGGTCTGTGGCATTGTCTCAGCTCTGTCAATACCCATCGTCACATGTCTCTTGCTGGCTGGAGGTTGAACTGTCTCAGCTGCCAGACCATGAAGAAGGTAGTGCTGGGCGCTTCCTTGTGGGATTTCCCAGGATTCCACTGTGCTTACAAAACCACGCAGGCAGCAACAGAGCAGGGAACAGAGCACAGCTTCAGCACCACAGTGCGCTGGGAACTGGGGGGTTTGTCAGAGTCCCATGGGCAGTATGACATGGGCACACAGCCTATTTTCCTCCCCTGGAGATTAGGTGAATTTTCCTTAGGCAAACTTCTTAAGGACAATCTTTTTTCACCCAGGTGACTGTGGTGCAAAAAGGATCCTGGACAATACAAGCTTGGTTCTGTAGGACAGTGTGATTCAGGCTGTAAAACAACACATATCTGTCCACGTCCAGCCACGCAGGAATGAAACTGTGAGAAAAGGCCAGGGCTTCTGTGTTACCCCCAGGGTGGCTTGTGACCCAGCAGGTCACTAAGCATTCTTGGTGCCTGGACCTTCCCAAACCAGGCAGAGGGAGGAAGTGTCAAGCTGGGGTGTAAGATGAAAGGAGGTCTGAGGAGGCTGGCTGTGTGGCAAGGCCACCAGCCAGAGGATGCCAGACATGTCCCCATGGGAAATACCTTGCTGTTCATGTGGGGATGTCTCTGTCATGTTTGAACTGCATGGTGGAATTGCCACCTGTTCCTGCAGGAGGGGCTGGGACTGGCACAGATTGAGAGGAGGCCAATTCTTGAATGAGAAAACCAGAGCAAACACCTAAGCCCACCTTAGTGTAGGCCATGATCTTGCCCTGGCAGGTGTTGGAGTTCTGTGTCCCAGGCATGCCTGGGCATGTTCACTGGCTCTGGAGCTCAGGGAGAAGGGTCCCATCAATGTCACTAAGCCCCTGGCTAGACATAGGAGTTTGTTGCTTCCTGGGGGCCAGCTGCCTTCAGGTGTCCTGCAACACTGTCTGGTTCCCTCGGCAGAGCTGGCAGTCCCTGCCTGGACCTTTTCCAAGCAGAGAGGGACCAAGTGAGGCACACAGGAAAGTGTGATGGGCATCCAGGCTGGGGACTGTTGGCAGCACAGCAGCTGGTACAGACAACTTGTCCTGGGGGTCGCTAATTCCCTATGGACTCCTGGCCTTCAGCAAGACCCAGTGAGCTGAGGGACAGGCAGCAAGGCCTGCCTGCCTTTCAGGGCTGCCCTGATGGGAGAGTGGGGTGAAGGGGAGCTCCCACCCACCTTTATCCTGCCTGACTATAGATCTAGTTAGGAATGTAAATTAGGGTGTGGCTCCCAGTGTAGGCCATGGAGACATCACAAGAGCAATTCAGCCCACCCAAGATCTGTGCTGGGATATAGACATGCCAAGTCCTTTGGATTTAGGGAGCCTTGGGCAAGGCCAGTTCTTCAAGCCCAGCTTGAGGTTAAATGGGAGGAGTCAGACACTGTTCTCCCCTGTTGATTGCTGTAGTGCTGCAGTACATGGCAGTTGTTGCTGTGTGCCCAGAGCCCAAGCAGGTTCCCAGGACACCTGGTAAACAGGTGCTCAGACAGAAGGAATTAGACCTTTTCTTCTGAGAGACTACATCTGCACCTATGAGGTGGGACCTGACCTGTGGAAGGGACAGTGCTGGCTAATTCCCAGCACTGGCACGGGCAATGCATGAGGTCTTCTGCAGACTTAGAGCTGAGAGGATCCCAGAGGAGACCTGGGGCTTGCTTGGTTCTGCTCGTTCTTTGGCACAGGGGTGAAGATGTGGTGACATCTCCTTTCACAAACATGTGGTCATCTTCTGCATCTCATATCACCTTGCTGTGAAGTTCCAGGACAAATGGAGAAGTCTCCCTGGGAAGCTGTCAGCAATCTGCATTCCAGTTATTGTGGCACTGCTTCAGACAGACTAACCTGGGGGGCCATGGGCCCATGAGGACATGGTCTTTATCAGAGCTAGCAATCCCAAATGATAAGATTGTTTTATGAGTGTGAGGCCTTGTGGCTTCATGTGGCTTTGAAACAGTCTCCTGCACAAACTCCAGCACCAATACTTATGTCCTGCTCCTCAAAACTCAGCCTGGACCTCTTCCCTGGAGCTGTCATGCTGCTCTGCCTGATCCTGCTGTATGTTGTGCTTCTGGACAGCATCCATGCCAGAGGCTTTACAGCATCCACCTCACAGCAGAAGATGAAACAATGCTGTAGGAAAGACAATGAGTTGTGCTTGTAACATGTCCCGGCATGAAACTGGATGTGCAATGCTTAGCAATATGCTTTTCATTTTGTGGGGAGAAGGAAAAGGAATTGTATATGGCAAAGGCTGAGCATATTGAGATCATCTCCCATTTCTTGCCAGCATTCATTGATTATTCTTGCACTTCCACTACCTGATTTGTATAGATAGAGGAACTTAACAGCACCCATTCTGGCTTTAAAGGCAACATGTCTGCAAGTGTCCTTCAAAAACGTGGCAGGGGAATGGTTTCTGGAGAAGCATTCAGGGATGAGCAGGGCCAAAAGCTCCTCTGAGCTCTCCTGCTCCAGTTCCCAGTGGCATCCATCTGACGTGAGCAAGGTGCTGTGGTGAGAGGGTGGTATGGGAGCCAACCTGGAGTGGAGAGCAGGAATATTGCAGTAGGAGGAGGGGACACGTCCAGCAATGGGAGGGGTCTAGGTAAGAGAGAGGGTACTGGATGAGCACAGGACATCCTTATGGCCTCCTTCTCCTGGCTGGTTTGGGAGGAGGCTCTCCCTGGCCAGCAGCACAGCAGAGGGATTCAGTGGGGGCAGGCATCTCTCTCAGGTGTCTAGGGCTGGCAGCTGCAGTGCTAGGCTGTGGGCACGTTAGGGCCCTTTGGAGCTTTGTCCAGCAGCATTTCAAGTTAGGATAAAGTCCCCTTGGGTCTGGGGTCACATCTGCAGTGTCTTGCTGGGAGTTGGGCTGGCCAGGAGGCAGCAGTCTGCTGTTCCTCTTGTAGACAGTGTCTTCTTCCCTGATTAAAGGGCTGACTACTCCCTCTTTAATTACAGTAACGAATTTAGCAAGTTGGTAGCAGAGGAGTATCTCAGCTTCTTTGACTTCACTGGCCTGACCCTTGACAAAGCACTCAGGTGAGCTGGTCTCTGGCACTCCCGCGTAGGGCCTGGGCTGAACAGAGCGGAGCAGCGCGGTGGGTTTCTCCTCCAGACTTCTGGACGCCATGGGAAGCTGTCCGTGTGATAGGAGCAGGGACTGGGGGGAGCTCCAGGTTGTCATTTAATCTTTGCTTTGGTGTCACGTTTGGCACAAGGTACTGCCACCAAAAGTGGGCTTCAACAGGAGGGCCCACAACCTGCTTCCCCATGGTGGAGAGCAGCTTTTCCAGGAATCCTATCCCATACAAATTCAGAGCAAGTGGGAGCAACTTCTTCCCTTGGGATGGACAACCCATCCTGGTGCCATCAAGCCAGAGGTGGGTCAGATCTCAGCTGACAGCATGTTTCCCCGCACAGCTCAGAGCTGGCTCCATAGACACCCTTTTCATTGCACCTGCAGGGGCCCAGGGGTGCACAGGCTGGGGGGAGGACAAAGGCCTTCCTAGCTGCTCTGAGGACCCCCTTTCCATCTCCCTCCTTAGCATGGATGCTGCCCAGCAGATTGATCCATGACATCTTTAAGTATCACTTTCTCTTTGCAGGACATTCTTGAAAGCATTCCCGCTGATGGGAGAGACGCAGGAGCGGGAGCGGGTGCTGATTCATTTCTCCCGGCGATACTGCCAGTGCAACCCAGAAGAGAGCACGTCCGAAGGTACCACTTGCTTTCCCTGGCTCTAGTGTCCATTGTGCACTCACAGTGCATGTGTGTCACAGAGCCTGAGTGTAAAACCAACCATCCACAGCCAGGCCTGAATAGCACCCACTGGGCAGGCAAGGCTGAGCTTCTCCCTTTCTCTGGGATGCTGCCCTGCTGATTATCCTTGCCCTGGCAGGGACTGGGGAAACAGGTGGTGAATGGTTCTCAAACAAATTACCGCAGTTGTAGCTTGCAAAGTGGTTGCTGACAGTGGGCAAATGAGTGGCTGGTGCTAGCTCAGCCCAAGACCTTGTCCATTGAATGGAAGAATACATTTCCGTGCAGATAGAGGAATGCTATTGCCTTGCCATGCACAGGAGTTGTGTTCATTGCATTGTTTGTTGCATCTACATCTGCAGCAGAAAAAAGCACAGCTGGGTAAAATTCTGGGCTCACTTAAGTTGCAGATTTTGTTAGCTACTTTCCGCCCCCCCCCCCCTTTTTTTTTTTTTTGTTAGATATAGTTTCTAGTTTTATAGTTTTAAATGGGAGAGGTCATTCCTGGTACACATGTGCATACGCACACGTCCAAACATGAGCATGCCCACGTTCGCACTTACATGAATACCTCTACATGCCTGCTTACAGGTATCTGGAAATGCCCTTTTGGGTGGAAATCAGGCTGCTGACCTGCTCTCAGCTGGCACCATGGCAGTGCCAGTTATTCCTCCACCCCCTTCTGCATGCAGTATGCCAGTTGTGCTTGAGAGCTCCTGCTTGTCTCCATCTTGCAGGCTTCCCAAAGAGCAGCAGTGCCTAGTGTTACATGAACCTTCCAGTCCCTCTGCCAAGCTAACTGGACACGCACTGTTCTCAGAACAGAATGACCTCTTTTCTTTTATCAGTGGTATCCCAATAAAACATAGGTTTAGATTTCATTTCCCTGTGTTTGTATGATGTTCTCACCCACTGATCCAAAGACAACCTTCCCTGGGAAGGGTCTTTCACATGAAGACATTAAGCTGCAGGCTGAATTTTCAGCAGCAGTCCCCAGCTGAAATATCCTAAATGCCACGTCCTGACCCCTCTTCAACACTTCCCCCTGGAAGTGATCCCCAATTCTACTGCATCCATCTCCCACCCCTATAGACAAGGGCCTTGGGTCCCTTTCTGGTCCCCAGGTGCCTACCACCCACTGTGGGGGGGTGGATGTATGCACACACCAACTTGAGCACAGGCTGAGCTGGAGCACAGGGGGTCAGACCTCTGACTCCAGCCCACACCCTTCAGCATGAGGACAGTAACTAGTCAAACAAAGCGCAAGCTTTGCCGTGTGGCAACATGGGTTACAAAACTGCTGATGGAGCCATGCTACGGCAACTGTTCAGAAGAGAAATTAGATCCCAGTTCTGAACACTCTGCAAGGAAGGTGCCTGCTAATGCAAACACGAATGAAGCCAGAAAGTTAAACTCTTCCATAACTGCATGGCCCTCAGTGGAGATGTCAATGCTGCCAGTAGGACCTGTTTTGAAAATATTATACTCCTAAACAGTATAAAACTATTAAGAATAAGGAAAACGGGGTCTGAAACATATTACTGCTGCTGCTGCTGTCATGACCTATTCATTAACACTTAGGGCCACAGCATTGCCTGTGATGGTGGCAGCACATTTCACAAGGCTGGGCAGGACCACTTTCTGCAGACCAAATGTAAACTGAATGAGTCCCAAGCAGGACAGAGCTGTGCTCAGTACTGGAATTGAATGGGGCTTGAAAAATACAATTGTAATCCAAGTACTACTTGAAGCTGATGCAATGGAGGGAAGAAAAGTGGCTCCTTCAGGTCACATCTTTTGCAGATACTTCAAAAGCATGCACTAGGTACATGGTAATTTGAGAAAGTTATTGCAAGCTTTTTCTTCAGGAAGCAGTTCTTTCTTGTTGCATCCAGCCTAAACTCACAAAGGATGTTCCACCAAGATGAAATCTGAGCCACTGTGTGTTATCTAGATTTCTAAAGAAACACCTCTGGCTGTGATGTTCTATTGGCATAGAGGCATGATAGAGTCAAGGCAGTTTTGTCTGGAGATGATCAGGCAGCTGAGAAGGTCTTACAGCCCTCTAAGACATTTCAGGGTGTTACTACGCGCTGATTCAATAACTCCTCCACTGATGGAGACATGGCTGTTGCAACACCGAGAGTCACTTCACTTGCATGATGGGATGCTGCAAATGAGGGTGGCAGGAGCTCTGATTTGCTGACCACTGAGTGAGGTGGCTGTTTTTTTCTCCCAGAGAGTGGTGTCCTGGACACATTATTAGTGCTTTCCTGTACTGATAAAGCCCAGGCATAGAAGAACAATATAGTTGTGTTGTGACACCGTGTGAGCAGAGAGAAAAAGTGAATGCAACTGAGCTAAGCAACAGGGAGAGAATAGCAAGTTTTGGGACACCAGCTCCACCTTGGGGCCATGTGAAACATGATTTACCTGACCAAAGTGATACAGTAGGGCCAGGTGAAGATGTCAGCCCAGAACCTCCCACAGAAACTCAAAAATACACACTGGGAAGGCATGTTGTCCTAAGCCCAAAGCTGCTTCTTGTGAAAGTGAAGGAAGCATCTTTCTTAGGAATTGATTCTCTCTTGAAGGGGGATGTCCATCACACCATGTCCCCAGAACTGTCAGCCCTCATAGAGAAATACGTGATGTTCCCATGAGAAACCCTTCTTTCCTCAGACCATGGTTCTTCCAGGAAAGGGAGAAGCTTGTGTGCTGAGTTGCCTTCATCCTGGGCTTGTGTGTTTGATTGCCTTTAGCTGGCAGTGTTTAGAGCTTGGCCTTGAGCATGGGGTGTTCAGGGTTCATCACTATTCCACACAAATGGTGCCTTTGTTTAGTGGCAGCCTGGGATGGGGACAGGCCACATCTGGCTCTCTGTGGCTGCACATATACCCCCACAAGAAAAGGCCAGTGCCACTTCCCCAGCCAGGCCTGGGGTAAATCACAGCCTGACCCTAGGCCACCAATTCATAGAGCAGGATGCACGAGGGAAATAAGCCAGGAGCATCACGTCATGTCTTACTTGGTCTGTGGAGCAGCCCATCTGTGTGAGCACACCAACTCATGCCAAGAGCAGGGCCAAAGACCAAGGCTGTAGTATTTCTGACCCTGCCTCCTCCCTGGTGCTCTCTAGCCCTTTTGTGAGGTCCTTGGCAAGGACCAGTTGATGTGCCAGACTGCATTTACATCTCACTGTTGTGAGGTGGTGTGTGGCAACTGGTCTCTTGAGCTTGAACAGTTTCAGGATACAGCATGGTTTTGAAATAACAGCAAGCCGCCAGGCTACATGGTAAAGAAGAGGGTGCTGTACTGTCTCAAAAGGAAGGAAAACTTCATGTGAGTTTTGTTAAGTCAAAGAGCCAAAAACGCTGCACTAATTTTTAGTTGTGTTTGTTGAACAACTCAAGAGCTTACAGGCTGGTGGGAATGATGGCTAAAGACCTCAGGACAAACCCCTGAGGTGACTGTGATCAACTGGGGGCAAACTAGCTCTGTTTGCCAGGGTCTCTGCCCCATTCTACAATGGCATTGGCACAAAACAGATACGGAGGAAGACTCAGCAGAAAGTCTGGTCTCTAGAAAGCCATTGACAAAACTGCTTTAAAGTCAATTCCCTGGTGATCGTTTCAGAAAAAGGTAAAGTTTGACAGAAAAGAGGATATCTTTTTTTTAAAACTATCTTATGCAGTTGAAGGAAACAAGTATTCTTTAAGGTCCCCAGACATAGCAACTAGCCTTGGTTTTGCAATGGGTGGGCTGCCAAGACAGCAAACACCAAAACTGCATGGGAAGGGGAGTAATCATACCCATCTGACTTGTGTGTTTCAGATGGGATTCATACGCTCACCTGCGCCCTGATGCTGCTAAACACAGACCTTCACGGCCATGTAAGTAGTACTTGGAGAGGCATCCTTCCTTTTTTCCTTCCCAGTATAGAGGTCTGTCCCCTTATGCGGGATGTGTTGCTGGAAAATTGAGATAGGATGTCAGAGAGTACTCTGACCAGCTCCAGGGGGAATTTTGGGTGCCAGGCCCAGACCTGGGGACAGTCCTCTTAGTGTCTCACTCCCACACTCAAGCCAAAGGCATATCTCCTGCTGACATCAGTTATCTTGTACAGGCACAGGCAATGCAGCTTTCTTCCCAGGACCAGTTGCATGCATCAGCCCTGTCCCAGGTCTTCATCGCCAGTTTCTGTGGGGCTGGCAAACAGCAGCACCAATTGTGCTGCTATTTCTTGCGGTGCAGACACCTGAGGCTTCTCTCATCCCAAAAACTGCTGCAAGGGAATCAGTACTTTCATGCAGGTCTAAATTTGATCTTTCTTTCCCAAAACATGAACTAAGTCCCAGCTGTTCTTTTTCCTCAAGGTGTAACAGAAAGCCACTAGAGAGTTTCATATCAGAGAGGCCTCTGGACAAAGAGCAGGGTGAGCAGAGCTCAGTGCCCAAAGGTGTGGTTGGAAAACAGCAGAGGCTGTAAGAAGATCTTTCACCACCTTTTAGAGGCTCTTTCAGGCAGCATAGGTTGGATTTGTTCCTAAAAGTGTACAGGGCAGAGCAGAGTGGGAGGGAAAATAACTGCAGAGGGGACATGGGACTGGCCATAGGGGCCAGCACTGGGACATTGTGTACCCTTAGAGACCCCTGTTATAGCATACATCTGGGAGAGGCTATGGGGGTATGGCTTGTTATAGCAGCCTGTGCACGTGAAACCTATGCACCCTTTTTCTGCCCCACAAGCCCGTGATTTCCAAGCTGTATGATCAGAGTTCTCTTCTGCCTCCAGCTGGTAACAATTCGTTGTGCATCTGCAGAGGCTTGCCCTGATTTTCTCTTCATTAGTCTGTTAATGAGAGGACAGTAGGCCATAACCTAGCTCTGTTTTTGCATACTGGTTTATAATCACCTTTGAAAGGAGCCTTTTTCTGTGGAGGTGGGAAGAGGACATTACGTGAGTGCTCTTCACCTTTGACAGCAAAGATGCAAAGGCCACCAGCTTCACTGGTGCAATCCTGACAGTCCTCCTGGGAGACCGTCCCCATCATTAGGGCACAGATACTGCCTTCATGACTGGCAAGGTACGAACACAGCAGTCAGTGAAGGGAATTACTGGTCTCTGCAAGACCATCCTTTCTGGACATGTGCTGTAGCCTGCACCAAGCTGGCTACAGCTGCCATGGCCTCATCCTTTGAGGAACAGGCAGCCTGCGACCAGTGTTACACTGGCCACTGGGTCCGTTCCCACCCACATGGCTGCCAGTAACATGTCTAGGCAAAGTGTCTCTGCACGCGGTGGGATAGCAATGGGGCTGGCTTCTGGGAGGGTCTCACAAAGCATTCATCCTTCCACCGAAATGGTTGGAGCCAAGGAAATATTTTCATCAAAGCATTTCCTGCAACAGCAAAACAGCATTGTGGCAGAAGGCAAACTATGCAACTTGACTCCAAAGTAATCTTACTATTTTGTCTAGGTTTTTTTAATTTAAAAAAAATCCTAAATATGTCTCTGGGAAGATAAAAATTATTGAAAAGGCCAAAAAAACCCTAAACCTCACCATTTCTATTTTTCATTGACAAGCTGGCTAAGAAGCTTGATAAGAAAAAATGATCTCATGCTATCTAGGCAAAGCAAAAATAGCTTTCTTTTGACCAGGTGTAGAAATGCCCGAGCTTTTCTTTGAAAAATCTTCTCTTTATTTTTCCGCATGTGTAACATTAATTTCTTCTTCTCCTTCTCCTCCTTTTTTTTTATTTCCTTCTGCTCCTGGAACCTCTCTTTCTGCTCTTTAACCCTTTACCAGGTGGTAAGTGCAGTCATTCTAGTGTTTTGCTTTAAAGCACTGGCTTTTGACTTGTTTTTTCTGTGTTAAAAAAAAAAAAAAGGATTTTTGTTTGTCTGGATTCCTAAGTGGTTGTGCAGTGTCCTTCACTACTTAGCAACCCATTGGCAGCTGATATGCATCACATGAAATTCTCCTTGTGTAAAAAAACCTCCATAAACTGCAGCGTACCTGGGACTGTGTGACTTGACCTCTCACCCCTTTTTGTTAAAGATGCTGTCACGATATTGCATATCACTTGTTATTTTATTTCCTTTTTTAATATTGTGTGTGTGTTTCAGTGTTTTACTGTGCATTGTCATCAAGTGGGAAATTCCTTTGGTTAGGAAAAGATAGTTGATGTGTCTCTGTAAAGGGGCAGTTCCCTACAGCAGCGTGTCTAGGATGGGCTAGTTCACCATTCCAGCAATGACCATCACATATACTGAGTCCAGGGTTAAAAGTAATGAGACTGGCTTTAAAACATGAGATTTGCACCTGGCCACACTGGAGTTTTGCCTTAGTACTGTTGATTTTCTACCACAGGTACACTCAGACCCAGTTTCCAAGCTGTCTAGAAAACTTACTGTCTTTAAAATGAGACACTCCATTTTCATAGAATCACCTGGAGTTGGTGTTTAAAAGCCAGCATTACAAGCCTTGTAGTATAAACCAAGTTGTTGCAACTCTCTACCTTGCTCTGCTGGTGCTGTTTGAGCTCCAGGAGATCTTATGACAAAGTAAGTACTCTTCTGCTCCATCTCTGCTCCTTGGAGACAAAGCTTTGGGATGTCTCCTTTTCAATTGTCACTGTTATCCCTCCTTGTTCAGAACTGCTGGCCATGGAAGGACAGTGACAAATCAACACCTATGCCTCACCAGCACTCATGCTTGCATTTTGGTACTTCAGCAAAGCCCAGCTTCTGGAGTCACATTGTAATGTAACAAGCTTTAGCTTTTGTTCAAAAAGCAGGCCAGCAGCTCTCATGGCCACTGAACAAAGCTTGAAATGGGATCTCTGGCAGCTCCTAACTTCACATGTCCCTCACTATTAATCTTACAAACCCTGTGATATTCTCCTTAAGCCAAGCTTATGGTTTTGTGTTAGCAATAGTGCTGTGTTAGTAGCACTGAGAGAGCAGAAGAGCTCTGAGGTACGAGCAGCTGCTGGTGTCACCTGCAGAATGACACCAGTCTGCCCACAGCAGCTGTGCATGGCCCAGGGGTCACTGGTACCCAAAATTTGCAGGTTTGTTCCCTGCAGTGGGGTGATTTTGTTTCTGCAGCCTAGAACACATCCACTACCAGATCCTTTGGTCCAGTCAGACAAATGACCCTCACTTCATGCTGAAGCGTAAATGTAGTTGTTTGGGTTTTTTTCCCCTGAAGATGAGTGTTTAGGAGAGGTCAAAAGAGCCTGAGTAAAAGCAGGGCCTTCTAGGGGCATGAGGCTCATGCTGGGGAGCTCACAGGAGATGTACTCCACTCACCACTTTGCAGCTGAGATGTTTGATGCCTGGGGCCTCTAGCCCAGAAGCTCAAGTGGTTTAACAGCTCACAGACTGCTGGGGAGAGCACTCCAGATAGCCACCCTTCATGGCCTCTGGCCCCCAGGAACTGTTTCTCCTCTTGGGCCTTTCACACGGCACCTGCTTTTCCCAGGTATGAGCACCCAGCTCCATACTCACTGGCCCAGCCTCCTAAGGCTGGAACTTGGCAACAGCCAAGGGATGCCAGGCTACAGCCCAGAGTCTTCTAGAGGTGGATAGAGCCATCCTGGACACTTCAGGAGATGGTCTGCGATCATCTTGGATGAGTCAGCTCAGCAGCAGATGGCTGAGGCCCAGAGGAGGCAAGAACCCAACTGTAAACAGGGGAGTTAGTTACACTGGTTTGAAACAATGGGGTGGCAGGATCAGCCCTGTCTACCCTTCATCAGATCAATCTCATCCTTCCTAATTTTTTCTTATGCACTCTAACCACCATTGTGCACCTTGTCTCTGCATCTCTCCATTCTCATACACTGTTTGCAGCCGTCCACCTCTGTCTATCCATTCCCATACTGTCTCTATCCATTCATCTAACTATCCATCCCTTCTCATCTATTTAATCCACTGTTTGCTTGCTCACTCTCCATCCAAGCACACCATGCTGATTGTCTGACAGTGATTTCTCATGCTTTGCTGCATGGCCTGGAGCAAGCAAAGATGGGAAGAAGTTCTTTTCTGCCAGGGGGACATATCAGGAATAGTAGCTACGTGTGGCTGTGAAGCAGCCTTGCTGCTTGTTCTATTGCTGGTAAGTGATTGATGCACCACAAAAAATCAAAATGCCCCCATCTGTGTGGCTGGCCAGAAATGAAGATGCATCTCCCTGCCCAGCAGTCCCAGTTCAGCAAGGGATATAGAACATCTGAACACTGAGCTTTGAGGTGTGCAGATACATTCACCTGAAGATTATGTCCACATGTGATGATCTTGCTGAATCAGCAAGGTGGCCTACTGCATAAGAAGGCACCCCACTGCGCCCTCATAGTGACCATTTCCAGAGTTGTTCCTAGGATTCCCTATACTTGCTAAATACTGTTGCAGCGTGTGAAAGCTCAGGCAGCCCCTGGTGCTGGTGCCGTTGATAGTGAGGCAGTTGTGATCACAGAACTGTTTCTTTGCAAGTGTTGATCAAGTGAAGCTGTGAAGTCCGTGTTTTTTTGTTTTCTCTGTTCAGATGGTGTTGATTTGGAGGCACTTGCAGGGCTTTGTATTTGAGTGGCTGGCTCCAGGCCACTTCTCAAAGCAGCAAGCTGAAGTGTTAAGGTATCATTGACTTGAGGTTGTATTGCATCTGAGCCACCCCAGCATCCTGTGCTCAGTCCTACTGACAGCCAGCCTGAATCCTGCCCCGACTCTGCAGTGCTTCAACAGTCTTGTCCAACAAGCTGATTCATAGTATTAGCATCCTTGCTGGACCTTTCTCATCACCTCTTCTGGCTGTCAAAGAAAGGGTATGTTTTCATCCTTCTCAATTGCTCAGCAATTAGCTGCTTTTCCACAGTGTGGCTGCTGTCTCCAAGCTCAGAGATCTTGCACAAGAGAAAGAGACAAATCACAGAATAAAAAGCCATCCCCTGGGATTAATATATGTCTTGGACACAATATGTGAGAAACCCAAAGAAGGGCCTGCAAGGCTGGTAACTTATGCCACTTTATCTCACTGTATCCACTCACTTCCTAAAATGTGTTGGCCTCTGCATTCATTGCTGGATCACTGCAACAAGATCTCTGCAGGCAGAAAAACCTGTGCTGTGCACTCTGCTTTCCTGCCTCAAGGCAGGGGTAGAAGTAGTCACCTTCTCTCTGTGCAAAGTAATTTGGTGCCTCAAGGTCTCAGGCAACACACTTACCTCACCTTCAAACTCCCTCCCTTGTGGAAGTTCATTACTGCATTTTTTAATGCACTCTCTTACCCCCCTTCCTTTCTCCATTCACATGCCTTTGTGCTGTTGGCTTTTTTTTTTTTTTTTTTTTGGCTGTAATTCACCAGCCAGCAAGTACACAAATCTCTCTTCTCTCTTCTGATAAAACCTAGCTTGTCTGCAGGTTTCCCCACAGCTCTTCTGCAGCTAGTGTACCCCCTGAGCACTAGCTGGCAATAGCCTCTAGCTGTCAGGCATCAGCTGTGCGTCTCCCCTGTGAGAAAGCAGAGAGCCTCATGTTGTGCTGCACTGTCCCAAGGCACTGCAGATTTGTAACAGTGCTTTACTCCTCTTTTTCTTGATCTCTCAAGGGTGCCAGCTCATCTGGAGGTGGCACTGACAGGAGGCATAATTAAGAGTATGAGACAGAGCTGCTCAAAGGCAGTGCTGACTCCCTGTGTAGCCAAAGAGTATGTCTGCACACACAGATGGTGGGTGTGTGGGGGGCCATTGTGGGCTAATCCCAAGGCCTCACTCTTTCCTGATGCTTTCACCTGGGGAGAAGCCTCCAGGTCATCTGTTGTGCATGTTTGTGGGCAGGGGTTTCTGGTGTCAGTCTCTTTCAAGAGGTTATTTTCTTGCACAGAGGACACATCTTGCCCTGCAGGGCACCTGCTATATCATCTGCTGCAGCTTCATCCCCTCCCAGTGACCCAGTGAGGCCCTTCTTCCTCACTGAGTCCCTAAGCAGGCTCCTGGCTCTGCTGTTCTTGGCCATCCTCCCAGGTCCTCCTGGATGGCCACCCTGTTGATACCTTGATGCAAAGTCCACCCAGTGTCAGGATGCTGTTGGGATCTTTAGGACCACTGGTGGCAGCTCGTGCTCTCCTCTCGCTAACTCCATCGTCCGCTCCATGTGGTGTCACCACAGGGTCTGTCCTTGGGGACTTCACTCCAGGGTGTGAAGGCTGCAATATGACATGGCACTGGAGACACCTATCTTTCCTTTGTGGTATCAGACTCCTTTTTCTGAACTCTACAATTCTCACTGACTCCTCCACACCTCTGCTTCACTCCTTTGGAGAGGTAGGATTGCAGGGGAAGGCTTGAAAAAAGGCTGCCTGCCTCCAGCCCCTCGACCCTTGCAGGCTGAGAGTGACTCACCTGCTACGGTGAGAGGTAAAGGGTTTGGGAAGACAGATGCCACAGACTGATATCAGGGATGCCAGATGACCTGGCAGCATCAGCACCAAATAGTCTTGGCATTAGAACCTTGGCATTGTTCCAGGTTGTGAGATTCTCCCAGTGTACATGTATTGCCCTCACATGCCACAGTACTCAAGTTCACGCAGTACCAGTAGCAGGATCATCTCTTCATAATGGCAATCAAAAATAACAGTTTCTGTGAAGGACAAGTAATTGCCCAATGCTGGCTGTCTTCAGATGTTGACACTGCATACTCACACAATTTCACACACGGCAGGCTTGGAGACACATCCAAGCGTTGCAATTTCAAGGCAGTCTGAGTACTTGTCTTGGGTTTTGAGACACAGACTGTGTACCAGGACCAACCTGGAGACCAGAGGTGAGAGCACTTAGAAAGTTTGGAGCAAGAGCTAGAGGGGTTATTTTCAGGTGTTTTATCTCCACCATTAAAAAAGAGGTTATTTGAAAGGTTTGGGTGCTGGCATGAGCAAATAAAGCAAAAAGCACAATAGAAAATCAGAGCAGAAAACCTTTCAGCTTTGAGCTCTTGGGGCAAACCCAGACTTCACCACTACATATAAAATTGTTCTTTAAAAGACACTCTGATTAAAGTCAAAACTCTCCAGAAGTTTAATGAGCTGCTTCTTTGCCTTACAGAATATTGGCAAAAAGATGTCATGTCAACAGTTCATAGCAAACCTGGATGGCCTGAACGATGGGAAGGACTTTGCAAAGGATTTGCTGAAGGTAACATGATATAAATAGATAGTGGGATACTGTCATTATTATTGTAGTGCCACCTAGTCCTGCTGAGACACTCTGAGCCCTTGAATCAGCATTTTTCAGTGCACAATTGTTTCGTTAGAAGAATTGTAACCCACATGGATATCTTCTTCTAACTCACAGTGAGCCACCAGAGGTCTGTTCCCTGGTGGTGTTTTATCCAGATTTGTGTCATATCTGTCCTCAGAGCATACCAGGGGTCCCTCTGCCCCATGGTAGCTCTGTGATGCAGCAGACAATGTACAGAACAAGGTACCCTCTGCCCCCAAATATGACCATCTGGCACTGATACTTTTATCTGGCTTTACTTCCATGTAATTAGATGTAGTGTTCCAACACAACTAGTTCAGTACCATGGGATATTGGTTGAACACCGCAAAGTGAGTATTTTCTCCTTCCATGTGGTTTAACACCACCACTGTTGCCTGCACCTGCTGCAGATCCAGCAATCTGACCTGGATTTTGCTGTATGGAAGGAGGTTGAAACGACCAGTGCCATATCGGGGGTGTCACATCATGCTTTAGACGACACCCCCACCTCCCAGCAGACCTCACCCTACCTCACCCCTCAGTGTGGTCAGGGCCACTTCCACATTTTGTTTTCCTAGCCCATTCCTGCTTCTTTCTCACTGACTCAGGGAAGTAACTGGAATTTTGCACAGGAGGAACTGGAAAAGTTGATCCCCAAGGTCATTCATTCCTACCCTGCTTCTCAGGGCAGCATTCAAGCCTCCACTGTCCTTTTCCCCTAGTCAAGACACTGGAGGTGTCTTGGTGTACCCCAGAGTCTTCTATCATCTTTGTGTAGGCCAGGATTCACTCAGGACTAGTTGCAGCACCTAGAATTAGTCAAAAATATCATATACAGGCTCCTGACCAAGGCTGGCTGCCAGATCCCTCTGCTGCTGACATGTCCAGTCCAATACCTAGCATGGCACATAGACAAAAAAGGGTCGAGCAGGACACCAGTTGTCTGTCTCATTGGTGAATACTTCTCCAGGACAGTTCAGCAAGGAAGGTATCTCTCCAAGAACACAAGGCAGAGTGTGGAGGAGATGGTCTCCACCACCCAGACATGTCTTCCATGAGAGACACAGCTAATACCATGTTCTTGTTTCAGACACTATATAACTCCATCAAGAATGAGAAGCTGGAGTGGGCCATGTAAGTATACATTAAGCATTTGAGAGAGAGTGTGTCTTTCAAAGTAGCTCACAGGTCTTGAGTCATGTTTTTAGCCGCAGAAGCTCCCAGAACTTTTCCTGCCAAGCCCTTAAGCAGTGAAGTCCCTCCTGTAGGCAAGTTAGATTTATTTATGGCTTAGACACAAAAGCAGATGGGGAAGTTGGTGGCAGCCAGTGGACACAGGGTCCACAGGCATGATCTAAAGGAAGGGAATGCCCTCTTTGTTTACTATTACACCTATAAAATGCTGGTCCCACTCCAGGTGCTTCAGAGGTCTTTGCACAAGGAGCTCAAGATTTGGGGTTATTTTGGTCACTGAGACTTTCCATCTCTTCCACATAGTTTCTTCTGGAAGTAGTATCAGAGAATCACTCAGGCAGGAAGGGACCTTGCGAGATCTCCAGTCCAGCTTCCTCCTCGAAGTATGGTCAACACTGAATTCAGACCAGGATGCTCAGGGCTTTGTTCAGTTTGATCCTGAAAACCTCCAAGGATAGAGAACCCACAGCCCCTCTGGATCCATGAACCAATGCTTAATTATTCTGAGAGTGATATTTTTTTCTTATCCATTTGAAACCACTGTTGTTTTGACTTCGCCCACTGTCTCTTGTCCTCCTGTCATGCACCATAGTGAAGGACCTGGCTTTGTCCCCTCGATAACCTCCTCACACATATTGGAAGGCTGCCATGATGTCCCCCAAACCCATCTCTTCTCTAGGTTGAACAAGAGCAGTTCCCTTAGCCACTTCTTACATAGCAAGTGCTCCAGTCCCCAGGCATCTTAGTGATCTCTGCTGAACTCTCTCCTTGTTTATGCCCTTTCCTGTATTGGGGGCCCAATACTGTTTGCTGTATCAAGATATGATGTTATGAGTGCAGAGTAGAGGAGGATGATCAGTTCTCTTAGCCTCCTCACTGTGCCGCTGTTACACAGCCCAGAATGCTCTTGGCCTCTGTTTCTGCCAGGACACACTGGCTGGCTCCTGTTCATCTTCCTGTTCACCAGGAGTGCCAGGGCCTTTTCTGCAGAGCTGCTCCCCAGCCAGTCAGCCCCGGCCAACCCTCCTTCAGGACCAGTGCAGTACTAGGGTGTTGCATTTGGTGAGGCTCCCGTCCCTCTGAGCGGTGGCCCTGCACCTCTCATTTTTATGTCGTCCACAAACTCAAGATGTACTCTGTCTCCTCCAGATCATCATTTGTTACTCTGAAACAAGTCTGGGAACAGCTAGCATGGTGGCCTCCGTGACAGGTTCACGCAGCACCTTCCTCAGCCCTTTCCCTTGCTCTGCTACCCACCCCCTGCCCAGAGCACAGACCAGGACCCTCAGCAAGGGGTGTGCTGTGCTCCCCAGCCCCAAAGCCTCCCCACCACTGCTGTGGGGAAGCCCATGACAGACCTGGGGCCTTAAGCTAACACAGTGGACATTTCTCTTCTCTCCTCTCCTCTCCTCTCCTCTCCTCTCCTCTCCTCTCCTCTCCTCTCCTCTCCTCTCCTCTCCTCTCCTCTCCTCTCCTTCTCTCCCCTCCCCTCAGATCTCTCTTGTCTCCAGAGGGTTGTGGAACTGAGCAGGATGTTCTGGACCATTAGCTCTATCACCTGCTCTTCTCCTCATATTGTCCTGGCCAGAAAAGTGTCTGGAGACAGTTTGATCCTACCTCCCTCCCCAGCTACCTGGGTCAAGCTTTGCAGAGCAGGAGCCTCCATTGCCAGCCATGCCCCCAATGGCAGTGCTCACTGTGGGCCAGTGTCTCCTTTGGAAAGGACACAGCCAGCCGGTGGCCCTGGAAGGGCAGTGGTTTCTTAGTGGGTCACGTAGCATCAGTTTCACTTTAAAAATAATTTTGCGTGGCATCTATGTGAGAGGAAAGCAGCAATGCCAGCTCTGCAGCAAAGGCCGCATCAGCGGGTGGACGTAGTCACGAGAGGGAGCCCTGCAGCTCCGCAGAAGGTGCCGGTGGGACAGTTTACGTAAGAGGAGTTCAGCAGAAGTGCATCTGCTCGCTGGATGTGGGCAGTGGTTACACAACGCCTGCCAGCACATGCTCCCTGGCTTGAGCATATCCGAGGGATGTCAGCCCCCCGCAATGTCCTGCTGCAGCAGTGCAGTTCCACTCAGCAGCATCTAGCCCCCCTCTTGCCCTCCTCCACCCACCCCACTTGTATCCTTGCACCCCCTCATTCACCCCACACTGACCTGGGACCTGCCTTGCTGCAGGGTGTCCTGCTTGGTTGCAGATGGACAGGTTGCAACACGAGAGACCTCTCAGCTCCTCTGCTGTGGGACAGATGCTCCCTGACACGGGGTACCTGTTTTTCTTTCGGATATGTGGCACTGAGTTGTAACCTTGCACAGGCGAGACCCTCTTCTCCCTGCTTGCTTCTGCCTTCTGTCCTTGCCCATCCCAGGGAATAAAATGCCCTTGCTCACAAAGCCCAACTGGACAGGCAGGTATATGACCACCAGCAAGCAGGAGCTCAGAGGGTGCAGCTCAGAGAACTGAGCCCCGCTAACTCCCCACCCAGGTGCAGTGTCTGGGCTCTGCCTAAGCCTCAGGACTCCTGTGGGTGCTGAGGGCTGAGAAATCATCCTTCTCTTCCAAGAGGTGTCTGATGCTTTGGCCATGTACTTGCTGCAGGTGGGAAAGTGTGGGATTTTTACTGCTTACATCCCAGCTAGTGGATTCATCCCTGAGTCACTCCTCAGCTGAGGTCCCAATCTAATCTGCAACCTAAGGTGACCACTCATACCATTTAGACATTGACATGTATCACACAGGGCAGAAATTCCCTGTTTGCTCTCCCTCCTTAATGTCCCAGGGACACTGGGAAATATCACTTCCCATACAAGTTCTAGTTGCTATTTGCCAGATTATGTTTTACTCCAACCAGGAAGAGGCAGGCTTGGTGGAGTCAGTGGACACTTCCATAAGCTGCTCAGCCCATGCTGCCCAGGGTCCAGGACCAGGAGATCTGTGAGAAGAAGCAGTTTTTATGGAAATGACCAGCACTTCTTGCTCTCTGCTGGCCCACCCTGAGGACACAAATGGGGAGCTGATGTATAATCTGTTCCAGGGTTTGTGATTTTTTGATCAAGTGGCCCATCTCCCTAATGTCTGCAGAGCTTTTGCTCCTTAGAGATGCAGAGGACATTCCTCAAGCTCCTTCAGCACCTAGGAGGCCCCAGGGACTGCCTCTCAGAGGTTGAGAAACCCCAGTGATACCTGGCCTGCAGCAAAAGACCTCCTTAAGCTCTGATTTTAGGGCACAAAATTGGAGACTGTCCCTGTGAAATGCTTGTAGTCCTCAGAAATGGTGTGTCTGCTGTTCCCTGGTGTTCAGACAAGCACCCATTCCCTTACCTGTTTTGAGTAACCTCACAGTGGGACCACTGGGACAGTTACCTGCCACCCATGCTCCTCCCAGCTATGTCCAGGTCACCACTGTTGGCACACTCTGTGTGTTACAGTCCCTGCGTCTCCTTTCATTTTCTTTCTCTGACTAGCCTTGTAATAAATAACTCTTTTTAAAACCGAAGCAGATAGTGCACACTGTGACCCAACCCACGTGTCCTCCACTCAATCTCTTCTCTGACTTTGTTTCCAAGTGATGAGGACGAGTTGAGGAAATCACTCTCGGAGCTGGTAGATGACAAATTCGGAGCCAGTGCGAAGAAAGTGACAAGGATTGTTGACAGCAGCAACCCCTTCCTGGACATCCCCCAAGCGCTGAACGCAGTCACCTACAAGCACGGTGTCCTCACACGTAAAACCCATGCAGACATGGATGGGAAGAGAAGTACGTGTTAATGGGACAGGAGGAGATGTGCCCCAGGCAGTACCAGAACCTTGCCCTAGCTTTCTTTCTGGCTCTCCTGCTGAAGGCATTTCCTCACTGCATCCCAGGGAACACAAGAGAGATCCCTAGATCCATGAGTGCCAGGGCAGAGGGAAAAGAGGGTGTTTTGAGGCATTTATAGACATGACTGTTTTCAGGAGGCCTCAGTCTTCCCTTCTCACTGCCAAGGAACCTAACAGTGCCTGTCCCACACAGATAAACCTGGTCTTCCATCCTGTTCATGGGCATAATCCTGAATCCCACACTCTGAGCAATGGGGTGAGGGTGTTTCCACAGCAGTTGTCCACCCCAGCCCTGACCTTGGGGACAGTCTGGTCTTTGAAGTTTTGTTGCTGTCCATATTCTGCCATGTGCTGGAAACAGCTGCCATGTGCTGGCTGGGCAACAGGATGCCTCCTAGCTCTGCTGTCAGCATATGGGATTACAGAAAAGGTAAAGGAAAATATATTTGGGAACTGTTAATGAGCAGAGATTAATGAAACCTTGGATAACCCCTTTTGCTAACTGATATGATTGGCCCAGTCACTGCAGCTGATTAAAAGTCTTGAGTAGAGATTACCACCAAAGGCCTCCCTTGCTTCCAGCACTTTCTTAATAGCCCATGCCTAGAGGATTAGCTGTCTTGTGGTGATGTAAATGGCTCCCCTCACCTCCCACCCCTCTCCAGCTTCCAGCAAGCTCTCTGTCCCCAAGTCCATCAAGACGGCTGGTGTTAATGCTCCCTCCTCAGTGGAACAGAAGCTGCCTTATCCAGGGTATGTCTGCCTAACTAATCTGAAGCAGAGGAGCTCAGGGAATGTCTCTGCTCCTCAAGCATTTAGTCCAAGGAACATGAACCTGGGTTTGGAGGAGCAGGCACTTCCTGCACGTGTCCACTGGTACCCCTATACCAACTCATCTCTGGTTTTGACCTGCTTGTGTTCCTGCTGGGAGGCTGCATCTCCCAGCCCATGCCTCTCAAACACATGTCCCTGCAGACAAGCCACTCATAAGCAATAGCTTGGAGGTGTATGAGCTCTGGGCATCACTGCATGCCTCTGGTGTGTCAGGAGAAGGGTTGGTTTTGCCAGAAATGTGAAGGTCAAGCAGCACTAGCAGAAGCAGACATATATAATTAAATGTTCTTCCTTTTTTAGCTCCCAGAGGAAGAAGAGGTTGGAAGAAATTTTATGCTGTGCTTAAAGGGACCATCCTTTATTTACAAAAGGTAACTGTGGTGGACTATCCCATATGCTGTTTCATGCTGTCTCCAAAACAGTCATGCTGTCCTAAGCAGGAGACCCATAGATGCAAGTAGAGGTGAATCCATGTCCTAATGCATGCATGCACATCTACAGAGCACCTCCAGAGACCAGTATACAGAACTGGAGGATGCCATCATCTTTGGTGGTGGTGTTCATGCTAAGGGCACTATTCACATCCTGAAAAGAGGGCTATACAGAAGAAGTATGAAAGAGGGAATATTGAGGCAAGATTTCTGCAGAAGTGTCCCAGCAAGTAGGAGCTGTTGGGGAGGATGAATGAACAGGTGATACGGAATAGGTGAAATAGGATGTTGGAGAGACATGAATAGGAAGCTGAAGAGGTGGAGCATCAGACCAGTCTTATCCTGCCTATTTTTTTATTTGCTGGCATAGATCTGATTATGAGCAGCTTCACTGAGTCTGGTGTGGACCATGCTTAAAGTTTCTCTTCTCCTTCAGGACCTTGCCGAGCTGGGTCCTTCCATGGGTTGCCAAGTGACACTTTCTGGCTCTCTTCATCTCTGTTTGTTCTGTAGCCACCTCTAGTCAACACAAGTATGAATGCCAGGTCCTCATGGGAGGCAAAGTCACCATGGAAGGGCTTCCCTGCATGCTATAGCATTCAGCTCTCTGCCTTTCAAGACACTTGGATGCTAGGAGGATTTCCATGGATAGTCTATTCTGTGGGAAAATCCAAGGAGCCTGGATAGGGGCTCACTTGAATGTCAGTGTGAGCCAGCCAGGGATGCCAAATGTCTGTTCATCATGCAACAGCATAACCCACTGAACTAGGTCTGAACTACCTTAGTAGCACATGCTGTGCAGTAACCCGTTGAACTCACCTTGCTGGAACAGCACTCCCTGTGGGTAGATGTTTCTATGTATTGCAGCATTATCTCCAAAGCAATGTCAGTAAACAAACGTTGGATTATATAAGAAAGGCAGAAAGATCCTCAGGGCAGCACAGAATTATGACTCAGAGCTCGTAGCACACCCCAACGATTCTCGTGTTTTGCCAGATTCTATGGCACATGTCACAAAGCCAACAGAAATCTGGCAGCAGCCAATCGTAATTTACAGTACAGGTTGCTCTTAGCCAAGTGGTATTTTTACAGCCTTGCCACTCTTTCCTGAAGCTGAGGGAAGCTGCAGCGTACAGGAGAGCCCAGATCTCCAGCCCTCTAAGTGTGGCATTCTTCAAGTCAGTGGCACTCTTACATCTCAGTCTCTTGTCTTGTTAAAAGTCTCCACAAAGGGTCCACCGAAGAGGTCCTCATGCTGACCATGGGTGATGCATGAGGATTTAACTTGTACAGCGCTACCATCAACATTTAATTTTATGACAGTTTTTCTATGGAAAAAAACCCAACAATTTCATCAAAATCACAGGAACCATTTAGATCTAAATGAATTTTTTACCAAGGACTTCTAGGGCATGTCTCTTGGGATAAGTCTGTTGAGGGGGTATATATCTGGAATAAAATACACTTTCAGGACAGAATTTTCTTCCCATGCTGGACCAAAATCCAGATTAGTGAAGATTTTCTTGACTGCTTGGACACCACTAGAAGGAGCCATGAAGACAACACTGAGTGTCATTGCTGCTGATGGGGCAGAGGGGTTGGGTTTTCTTTGCTGTACAAGGCTAGCAGCAGTAACCAGCCAGACTATTACCATAGTTCATTATGTTACTACTAAGTGTTTAGAATTTAAAAAGAGAGTGAGGATGAGATTGATGTGGCAGTTAGAGGGCCAATGTTCTTGACTAGATGACCTTCAGGAGCAAATGGTTAAGAGACTGAGGGCTTTCTTTACGAACAAGGACTGAAGAAGAAAAACACCTAAGATTTGGCTAGGTTATGAAAATGCCTGATAAATAACAGCCATGACTGATGTGTAATTAGCAGGAGGGACTGGAATTGCCAAGGGTGCCCCAAGGAAGTAGCATTTGGAACAACAACAAAAATTAACCTGAGGAATGCTTGGGCAAAGGATTTGGGCAAAGAGGGGTTTCTTAGTCATGAGCTGCTGCCAGACTGTATATGGTCCTCTTCAGAGGATTCCTTGGGCTGGGCTTGGCTGTAGACAGTGTCTATCATCAGGCTTACAGAGACCGGACAGAAGGATGAGACCACAAAGACAAAGTCCTTGCCCTGCCACTTCCAAATATTCCCAGCACCACAACAGAGAGTGGATAAACATCCATCTGCCCTGTCGATTCTTAGTGCAATTTCTTGCCTATGGGGTGGTTTGCAGAACAAGAGAGTTGCACAATACAGGAAGGAAATGGTGTGCAGCCTCCCAAGCTCTCAGTGGAAGATGCCTGCAGATAAACATAAGATAGAAGCTGGCTTGAGCACAAATCACTGGGAAAAGATTTTCTGATGTGAAGATAGAGGAGAAAGTACCTGCTTCCAGGCTCACCTGATGCCATGAAGCACAGGTTCAGCCTGTTCCAGTTTTTTGCTCAGACCAAACCAAGGATCTAGTCTTTAATAGGAAATTCCCCGAAGTTTAATAGGAAACTCTTCTCAATTTCATTTTGGGGAGCAAGTTGAGTAGACGTAAGAGTGAGAGAGTGAGGGAAGGAGGTGGGAAGGAAGCCCTGGGGAGGTAGGTGTGTAGAAAGGAGGAATGGCCAGATACAGAGGGACGTGGACATAAGATAGGCAGAAGAATGGGTAGGTGGGTGGACAGGTAGAAATCAGTCTGTTAGAAGCAATTCAGGCAGCAGCCATAAACCTGCTGATGTAGAGATGTCACATGTCATTGACTCGCCAGTGTTAATTGCTGGATTAGCGTGTTCTAGCATAGTCTGCTGAAGCAATTGCTTGATCCCCTAAAGGGATGCAGCACAGTCTTGAGGAAGAAATGCAGGTTTGGGAGCAGGGCACACCTCTCCTGCGCTCTAATCTGCACTGGGCATTGACTCACTCCATGGCCTTTGGCAACTTACTTCACCTCTGTGAAATGGGGATAATAACCCTTAATCACCACACGTAGAGGGGTGTTGAGAGGAATGATGGAGAGCTATAAAGCATGCAATGCTTTTATATGGAAGTACTGGAAAGGGTGCAGGTCTTCCCACAGGGTCTGCCCTTGCAGCCCCCAACCATGAAGGAGTTCTCAGCACAGCCCTGAGCCATGGATGCTGTGCCATGCAGGCAGGCCCTTGCCGTGGTAGTGCTACTTGGAGCGCCAAGTTCATGACCAGACTGAAAAGGGCGCAGTGGTTACTTTTCCTCATTAAATGGTTTCTTTAGGCTGGTAGATGTGAGCTGAAAAAAAGGAAAAAGAGGAAAACCCACTCACAAGCCAGAGCATGAGAAATCTCTGTATCTCCATGTCCATATTCACATCACTGCTCAGGACTGGTGCTGAGTCCAGAGGAGAGGGCAGCAGGACCAATACACTGGATTCTCTCACCCCATCCAGGTGCCCCATGAAGGCAGGCCCAAGAGATCGATGCCTTTTCTTGAAAAAACAAGCTTTGAGCTGGGGAGCTCATTTCAGTTGTGGATCTCCCACCACCTGCTCACAGAAGCGGGCAGTAGGGGAGAGCTGGCATCAGAAGAGTGAACCAAAGACACCACGGAGCACTGCCATGGCAGAAACTAAGCCCAGACAAGGGGGTGGTTGTGCATGTTTAAGCAGAGCCTTTGTGCGGGCAGGAGAGGCACATGAACGGAGAGTCTGTCTATACCATCAACATTAAAAACTGAAAGTGAATTAAATTAATTTAGAGGGATTCCGAAACAAAACATCCACACTTGGGCTCAATTCCTGCAGAAGATAGCCCCAAAACAGACCCTGAAAATTGCTGACCCCCACCATCCTACACCTGGAGAATCGAGGGAAAAATAAACATGTCACCATTCTAGGGCTGGGGGCTAAGTGTAACTGGAAGGGTGTGGTATAGCATACCTTACCCATTTCCCAGTGACAAGTACCTGTGTGAACAGTGCAGGACACATAAGACAAAAATTCAACAGCCCTGTGATACCAAATTAACCCCTTTGCAAGGAAATGTATGGCAGGATAACACCATGAAAAAAGTGAGAGTGAGGTTAGCAGTGCTATAGCATGGACTAACCACTGCCTGAAGTTCCTCCAAATACGATACTGCTTTTGTTTTAGTATAAATGAGTTTCATTGAGATTTAAACCAGAACTCCTTCACTGAAAGTGTCTGTGTTACTGTTATGTTTTTGGACACATCTCTTCCTCAGCAGCAGTTTATGCACACACTTAAACTTACATCAAAGCTCAGAAAGGGAGTGAGGCAAAATGTAGAGAAGCTGCTGGAAGCTTTATAGCAGAGCTGACATGCTTTGCTGAAGGGCAATGGGATTATTCTCCAGGGGAAGGCTACGCAGTGTAGCCTACATTACGGTATAAGTGCTGGGCACTGTGACAGCTCCAGCCATGTGTGTGTGGCATCATGCAGCCTTGGAGCTGTTTGTGGAGGCTGCCTGTTTAAGAGCACCTAGAAGTGTCCCAGTATCGGCAGCAGTACATATCATCATGACTACTGCAGCACAGGCATTAAAATGAACTTCCTGGCAGAGCCAACCCATGCAGAAGTGAGCCTCCAGCACCATGCACTCCTGCAAACACAGCCTGTTTCCACCAGCAGGGAGGCAGAAGGTAGAGAGAACCTGCTTGATTGAACCTTACACTGATTTACTGAGCCCAGTGGTAGAGAAAGAAGATTTGGCTTTTCCTTACAGCTACATTGATGCCTGTGAGCCTGAAATCAGTAGAGGCAATACACGATGATACCATTCAAGGCGAAGATCTGCATTAATCAAACTGGTTTGCAACCATGGCAGTTTCTCCTTGTCACGTGCCATTAAGCCTAGCTATTTGCACAGTATTTTCAGAAAACTTATCTTGAAATAAGAGATCGTGGGCATCACAGCCAGATTTATTCAGATCCAAAGAGCTTCAGCCTTGAAAAACATCCAGAGTTAGAAGTCTCTACAGTGTATGACGCCTGAGTGGCAATGTCTTCCTCAAGCAACTATTTCTCTCCAAGTGGGGTAACATATTAGGTCCTCATAAGGCAAAGCACGTGTTTTTCTTTGTTAAAAGGCTAACAGCCCATTCCTCTGCCTACTGAAATCCCCACTGTGGAAAGGTCATCTATACCGCCCAGTGGCGTAGCCCATCTGAATGTCATCCTGAACACAGGGTGCCTGCAGCACCCACCCCTTCCTCTCCTGGAAAGCCAGGGCTTTTCTCTGGGGTTCACCCTTAAGAAGGAAGTTGCATGCGCCAGGAGCCCATGCCAGACATTTCTGGGCTCTGGGGCCCACGGCATTTCTTTTGCACAAGACCAAGTATCACATGCTGGTGAACACAGTATGGCAACCACTCTCCCAGATGGGATCATTGCTTCAAAAAAGGAGGGAAGGAAACCCTTCAGAAGCTTATTTCCCATCAGGAGCAAGGGTCTGGGTGACCCAAATCTATGGGCTGGGGAGTGCTGGCCCCTGGGCTCTGAAGAGCAACAGAGGGGAGACCTTTCTGACCCTACACCAGAGAATAGCCTTACTGACCAGGGTTAGCAACCAGGAGACTGTAGCATGGCTTTTCCCTGAATGGCTGGATTTGTACCACCAGGACAGAGGAAAAAACCCATCTTTTTGCAAATTTGCACAACAGACCAAGCTCTAGCTTAAAAGCTAAGGAAGGGCTGGGAGACATAGACCACCGCCATTGGACAGAGCTGCCCCTGTGCTGACAGCCAAGGACAGTCAAGGAAATCAAAACATAAGGGCAAATTAGTCCTGTAGGTTTGCACTGTAATCAGCAGGGCAAGGGAGGCCCTTCCAGGGACACCCTGTCTTGACATGGCGTCTAACATGGTCAGGGGCGGTGGGGTGGTGGTTTGTTTTAGCCAGGGCCAGGTTTTCTTATATCCACCTATCTACGTGTGCATGCATCCATCCATCTGTCCATCCTTCCATCCCACCACCCGGCTGGACCAGCTGTTGAGCTGGCAAGGGTGCAGAGTGGGAGGGAGGGTATCACTTTAACTGGCTGAGAGCTCAGTCACTGGGAAAGCAAAGGGTAAACACAGGATTGATTGAATTCCTTTTTTTCCTAACAAGTGCTGTGCCAAGATCATCCTTTTAGAATCCCATGTTTGACATTTTCTATCTGTTTATAAAAAATATACATATATAGTTATTGCTACATTCCCTACTTGTGTGAAATTGTCCTTCATTGGAGAAACTAAAGCAGGAATACAGGGAATGCTGCTGCAATTTGCAAGTGCCAGTCTAATGAATTACATGAGAGACCATGCCAAAGGGGCAAACATACTAATGAGGGACCAAGCATGGTTCAGGTGGGCCACGCTCAGTCTGACAACTGCCCAGCTAGACCCACACCTGCACAGAGATGTACTGGCTGCAGGAATGCTGCTGTTCCAGGGCTGCCTGAGACGGTGCAAAACCTGAGCCCAGATCCTCCACCACACAAAGCTGCAGCAGGCGCTCACTAATACCTGCCAATGACTAGGAGTTGCATCCCGGCTTGAGCTCTGTGCTCTGGGTGAAGTTCTGCAAACCTGGCCCTGTCTTGTGCCTTCCCCCAAAGCCCCAGGCTTGTGCCGTGTTAGAGACAACTATTGATAATTACATTTAAAACTTTCATCTCCTTCTTCACATCTTCCCAGTGAACTTAATGATGGAAGAAGTTGCCAGATGTTAATTATTATCATTATCAGCTCCTAGCATTTACTGTACAAAGCAGTGCTTTTCCTGGTCTCAGCACTCTGTGATTATAGCACAGAGACAAAGGCAGGTTCATTAAAGTAGCCCGCAAATGTTACTGTTGTCATTATCCAATTAACGTTCCTCTTCACAGGATGAATATAAACCTGACAAAGACCTCTCTGAAGTGGATCTGAAAAATGCCATCCGTGTGCACCACGCCTTAGCCACGAAAGCCTCTGACTACAGCAAGAAGTCCAATGTGCTCAAGCTGAAGACAGCTGACTGGAGAGTCTTCCTCTTCCAGGCCCCGTAAGTACCAGCTCTTCCTGCAGACCCTGGACCAGCAGCCTGGCCTCCAGCCACCACCAGACTCCCTCCAACCTGGCCAGATCAACACACACATTAGGGGAAAAATCTGGGGGGGGGAAGGAAGGTGCTGAGCAGGAGGGTTAAGGGTGAGGTCTGTAGGGCTGTGCAAAGGACTTGGTCACGGGGTCGGTTTCTACCTGTCACTCTTGGTAGCTGTGTGTCAGTCCTGGAGGTCCTTTCTCATGTGTCACCAAGGTGGGCTGGAATATAAAGGGCTGAGTAAAGGGCTCACCTTACTAACTTCTATTGTCAGTCTGTGGAAGGGAAAAAAACTATGTGGTACATTGAACTAGGGAGCTGATGTTCCTCTTGTCAGCTTTTGATGGCGAAACTGTCTAAAGCTCATTAAAGAAGTCTCCCCAGCCAGGCTAGATCTTCTTTCTTCCTTAGTCCATTGCAGAGGAAAGTTGCTCTGCTAGTAAGTGTCATGTGTCATCACCAAGAGTCATCTTCTGTCTGATGTTTTCCTTGTTTCCTGCTGAGATAGGTGATATTGTCTGTAAGTTGGGCTGAGGTACTAACATCAAGCTAAAGCTTGACATCTGAATTTGTGCAGTGAAAGCCCACTTGAAAGCTGGGGGAAGCAGTGCCTGAACAGATCTGATGAGGGACCCTGGGCAGTGTCCCATGAATGACACAAATGAGGGATCCACCCTGCTCTGTGGGACCTCTGTTGTTTGCCTCCCACTCTTCAAAGAGCAGGATATCCTTGGCCCTTTTCACCATGCTACCTCTCCCCAGCTCCTCAGGGAAGGCAATCAGAGCTGATGAGGAAGGCAGGACTGCCAGGGCTTCAAGAGGCAGACAACAGCCTTGAAATCATTAGGGCACTGTAAAGGAGCCAATTAGGCCAGTGTTTTCCTCTGTTCACAAGTCAGGGTGGCACAGAAATGGCGTCAAAGCAAGGCCACTGATGGGTCTCCTGAGAGCGGGTGGCTCCAGGGCTGTTCTGAGCTGGCTGGTCCTGGGTCAGGAGCATTTACAGACATCCTCTCTCTTCTCCCTTCCTCCATAACAGAAGTAAGGAAGAAATGCTCTCCTGGATCCTGCGAATCAACCTTGTTGCTGCCATTTTCTCTGCCCCAGCCTTCCCAGCTGCAATCTGCTCCATGAAGAAGTTCTGCCGCCCGCTCCTGCCCTCGTCCATGACCAAGCTGTGCCAGGTAACATGTGAGAGAAGGAGAGATGGAGGGGTGCCCAGCACTCAGCCATCTCTTCAGCATGCAGCTCAGGCTGAGCCCATCTGCAGCTCCCCCAGCTCCTGCCTGATAGACACATTCAGGTGCTCAGGGCAGGAACAGGGGAGTGGAGTGGGCAACTTGGACAGACCGTGGGATGATTGTCTGGCCAATGCTTCTTTTGCAATGGCTATAAAGCCACCTTATGCACACATACCTGCCTGTATGGCTGTTGATTCTGGCTTGCTTATTGCTCTTTGCTCATCACACCCCAGCACCTTTCTGTTGCTGGAGTTAAAACAGCTGGTGCTACTGAGCGCAACAGCTGGGAACAGCCCTGGTTTATTTTATAATCTGGCACTCAGAAGTGGCACCCTGTTGTTTCTCAAGCCAAAAAGCCACAGACAAAGGGGGAGTCTGAGTCTTGGTGGGGAAGGTTTTCTGGAAGCAAGGGGGCACAGTGCACCAGTCCATGGCTGCCTAAGGCTCAGTTAACCACGAGGAATGGGCAGCTGCCACCCAAAGAGTAGCTTTTGTTTGCACTGTCCAGGGAAAGCCCAACATCCCTTAGCACTTCCAGAAAGTAGGGACGCATTGCTACTGGCCCCCAGCAAAGGGGAGGACAGCCTGAAATGTCAGGGCAGAGATACAGCTCCTATCTGCTGAACCAGATGTGGCCAGATGTCACCTTTCTCAGAGCCCAGGTGGGGAGGGTACTTTTACCTCAAAAAAAGAGCAGGATGAGCAGCTCTTGGGACACTTCTGGTTCTGCCTGGTTGTTAAAAGATGCAGAGCATTTTGTGTTTATGGTGCTAAAGAAGCCCAGGTGCCAGAGAAATCCACTCTTGGCACTTGCAATACATGGGGTTTAATCTTACTCAAATACCTGTTGTTCATCTGCTCTTTATCAGATGAATTTGCAAATGTACTGCACACCTTTGTCTCCAGCACAGTAGCTAAACTTACATCTTTGCGGAGACAGATCCCAGATCAACAGATAGGCGGTGCACTTGGGTGTTGCACTCCTACGTTTTAATACCTGACACGCTTCTCTCGGCAGGAGGAACAGCTGAGGTCTCATGAAAATAAAATGAAGCAGATTGCAGACGAATTAGCAGAGCATAAATTACATCCTGTAGAGAAAAGCCTCAAGTCAAAAGAGGCTGAGGAATACAGACTCAAAGAACATTACCTAATATTTGAGGTAAAGGAACTTTCATCTTGTCTGTGATAAATGATACCTTGGTTGATTGAGGAGAACTAAGAACTCCAGAGTGGATGCTGTGAGCCTGGGAGAGTGTGAAAGGAGAGAGAAGGAAGAGGGTTCACAAGCTGGATGCGTGTCTTGGGGCAGCAGCAAGCCTCACTGTTTTGCACTGAAGCTAAAAAAAGAAATAACAGACATTTCCTCCCCTCTGTGATTTCTAACCAGAGGAGGGGAAAACTGATGAGAGAAATAAAATCTTACTTTACTGTGCTGAAACTTGACATTTCCTCAGGTCCTAAGTAAGGAAATGGTTCAGTTCTCGGTGTGCATCAGTCTTTTTCAGCAACATTAATAAAAAGCTGAAGGAATCCGTGGGAGAATTAATCTTGTTTTGCTGGAACCTTTTCTGTAAATAAAGCCAAAACCAACATTACAGGTGATTACAGACTCTTTGAGGATGCATGTAGCTAAGTTTAAACTCTCTGCAAAGTCTAAGAAGCATTTAGTTGTGGGAGAAATTGGATATTTTGTTCCAGTGAGAGTTGAGCAGAAGGTGTGATTCCTGCCACATAGGTGTCAGTGGGAAGGGACTGCTGGAGGCCTCTACTCCTGCTTCCAGCAGGAGCTTGGATTATTCCCACTATTAGCCCAGGCTGAGTGTGTTATTTTGTGGCAGAGTCAGAAATCTCCAAGGATGGAAATGTCCCACCTCCTTCCGCATACCAGGGCTGCACCACCCTTTTGTGTGACACCCAGCCTGACTCTCCAAAGCCACAGTTTCTGGCTGCTGGTTCCCTTGCCTTTGTACCAACCCTTCAAATAGTTGCTTGCTGCTGCCTCCTGTTTTCCAGACATCTTGTTTGGGATGCCTGCAGAGAAGTCTCCATCTGAGCATTTTCTTTAGGCTGCCTTTTCAGTCTGCAAGGAGAAGTTGGCACTTCCAGAGCATAATTCATCTCATCTGTCTTATGAGATGTGCTCTAGAAATGCTTGTTTCTCTGTGCTGACAAAGAAGTGAGTATAGGCTGCCTCTGACATGTTAGGGGAAAGGATGAGTATTACCCAAGTCCATAAAAAGAGGTCCCATGTAGCCTTGGAATAAAGGTGCCAGGCAGAGAGAAGATGCCTCCCTTTATGCTGTGCTCTGTGAGGAGCAATGGGGGCACGACTCAGCAATAACAAGTGAATCACTGGATGGAAACAATGGCAAGCAGAAGTATTCGAATCAATTGAGGGGAACTCCTAAGTCAGGAAAGAGCAGATCTGTTGGTCTGGTTTCACCTCCAGTATCTGCCTTATACAATCAGAGTGGCACTCAAGATCCATAACAGCAACTGGAGAGTGTTGCACAACCCTGCCCTTTCTCCTCAACCCTTTCAATGATGGGTTGATAAGTCTTTGCAGGCTTTGTGTAGACCAGGCATTGTGCTGTGGTTAAACAGTACTTGTTGGGTGTGATTAGTGGGATCCTGACAATATAGGATGGGTTTTCCTGCAGTATGCAGATGCATTGCCTCTGCTTTCCATGCATGCCATGGCCTGTCCCTGTTCCCAGGCTCTCTGTTCCCTCTTTCCCTGCAGAAGAGCCGCTATGAGACATACATCAACCTGCTGTGCATGAAGATAAAAGTCGGGACAGATGACCTAGAGAGAATTGAAACCAGTTTCTTCAAGGTGGAAGCTGATGACATTGCTTTGCGGAAGACACATTCAAGCCCTTCCTTGAGCCAAGGGCACATGTCCATCAGCTGTAAGGTGGAAAAGGACATTTTAGAGCAGAACACTTAACAAGGAATGCGTGCACAGCGGGGATGAACCGGCGATGCTTTGCGCTCCTGGACTAGATCGATGAGCACAATTTTACCTAGGAAATTACATGAGCAAAACCATAGACGTGTACAACATGGTGATTGCTCTAGTGAAAGAAATCAAAGAAGCTTTAGTTGACACTCTCTGGCAACGCGCTGGCATTTCAGCATCATAGACATGCCATCTCTTCTTCATCCCCAACAGCACCAGTGGCTTTTCTTTCCCTCCTACCGCAGCCTGTACAACAAAGGGATATGCTGGTTCTCCAAGGGCCAGGTTGCTCTTTTCTCCACTAGCTCTCTCTCTCCTCCTCCTTCTCTTCCTGGAGTCCCCACCCGTTCATGTCCACAGTTCCTGGTAGTGCAGGAAACTCAGCCAAGATGACATCTGTGGCACCACCAGCACTCCCAGAGAAGGGCACAGAGTGGCAGGGAGCATGTCCCTCCCCCAAGAGGAGCACCGTTCAGCACATCGCGATAGGATGGTTGTCATGAGCTAGTCACCGACTGAACGAGAGACGTCTTCAGCACAGCATGTGGGAATGTCATCTGCCCATGGCAGGAGAGGCCTGAAGTGCCCTCTGTCACCTTATCCTTTTTTTATATATATATATACATATGAATATATATAAATAAATATATATATATATAAGGAAACTTTAATGTAGGTTTTTAACCTCAGTGTGCAAGTGAAGGCAAGCTGCCTGGGGAAGACACTAGGGACCATGGAGGGTCTGACCAGCCCACCAGGATGTTTTAAAAATTGCAGTAGCTTATGTATCTTTTTTTTGTTCCTCCCTTTTTTATTCAAATGGAAAGCCCACCTGGCTTTGCTGTGAAACATCACTCTCCTGTACCTGCTTGTTCAGACAAACTGGCCAAGTGGCTGCTTATTTAGCATCCACGGTGTCCGCCACTTTGGCTTTGAGGCGCAACTGGAGCCGTGCTTCAGATCCAGCTGAACCTTTGTGTGCAGGAGCAATCCCACCTGCCCATCAATGTTGTACTTCCTCCATTTTGCAATGCACATGCTATAATCTTTTAAGCGGGGAATTGTGTTTCTGTTCCTTTCTGCTGTCTGTGGTCCAACGATTTACTGTTGTGCTAGAAGTGATTCCTCTGCATTTCAATGCCATGACTGTCCTCCCACACTTTATTTATTTATTTCACTGTTTTGTTTGGTCCTTTATCTCAAATTGCTTTTCTTTCCGCTAGATGCATTCACAGTAATCAAGTTCCAGTTTTGAAGGATCTTGTAGCTGCTAATTACAGTCATTTATTGTTTATATTTTGCAGCATTTTTTAAACAAAGAAAATAAGATTTATTTGGACCTTCAGCATTTGACAGCCTATGGACTACTGTTTTCCATGATGGTTCATGACACTAAAAACCTCTGCCCAACTTTGTCACCTCTTCTTTTATCTGTTTCTTTGTACAGTTTGATAGTTCATTTGAAATGATGCACTAAGGATCATGTAAAAAAGAATAACAATAAAGCTGAATCTGTTGGTAAAGAGAATTGGTCTGAAGTACAGTTCCACCATGTGCTGGACTGGTCCCAGACTTCATGGCACTAGATGGCCAGGCTGACACAGATGTCCATCAGCACCTGCTGCATGAAAGCCAGGTTCCTATGGACAGAGAGCACCAGAAAATTGCAATGCCTTTCCATGAGTGGGGTACCAGCCCACCCATCCTCCTGGGTGCTGAAAGCACTGGCCTGCCCGTGCTTTGGATGGTTGGCTCACCCGTGGGGCAGCTGTGGAAAGATGGGCTGCTTTGGGAATGCATCCAGGTAACTCTTCGCTCGGTCTGGTGCATCCCAGGTCTGTCTGTCCACATGCACCCTAGAGGTTTATGGGAGAAGAAAGATACCAACATCTGCATTGGTGGTTGGACATATTCTGGGACCTGTTCCCAGAGGAGCCCATGGCTACATTGAGTGTCATGGCTGTTTCTCCAAGGCATCCTGTGCTTTGCTGTGTCAGGTACTGTACAGATATCCCTTGCACTGAAGACCTCCAAGATGATGTTACTCACATGAAGCGTCTGGTGCCCAGACTCACAGAGGGGAAGCCTGGGGGAAAGCCAGGCCCAACTCTTGCTCTCCAGAATCCCAGGTAATATTATGTACCTCAGCCTGTCCTTTCTGACCATCCCCTCCAGCAGGCAGTGACATCTGTGATGTGTTTGAGGAAGCCACCAAGAGCAGCCCAGTCCCCCATGTTGAAGGTGCCAGTCTGCCATCCTCGGTTGGGAGTAAGTTGCAGGGAAAAGCAGGATCTTGAAAGTCTCTTCTGGGCACCAGGAAAGGGCCTCAGAGCCATGAGACTCACCACCCAATGGATGTGGAATGAGGTAGCATCCAGCATTAAACAGCCCTTGGCAAGACAGCTAAGAGGGTTAAACTTGCGCTTATTGACAACCAGCAGTTTGCCCTGATGTGCAAGTAGTGATCCGGGTGCATATGCATGTGCAGATGTGGTGAGCATTTTACCTACAAGAGGGCACTGAGAAGACCCAAAATGCCTTGTTTGACCAACCCACAGCCTCAGCTTGTGACCAGGAGGAAAATGCTTTTTTAATTCCTCTTTCCCTGCCTGGAGATGAAGGACTCAGCCACCCACCACTAAGAGAGAAGAGCAGCATCTCGGTGGAATTAAACAGCCACAGCTTTTTCTCCTCCTGGAGGTACCCAAACGTACTTTCTGGCACATCCCCAGTCGGTGCCAGGCCCTCCAGCAGGCAACATGGCTGCTCGGGGTCTCAGACAGCATCCCCTGACAATGCTGGTACAGCCTGGCCTTCCTGCCAGGTCCCTTCTTCTGGACACAACCTGACACCACATTTATTCTAGAGAGACTTTTTGGGGGGGTGGAGGCTTTGCAATCCCAAAGCCAGGATCCTGCTCCTCTCCTGCTTGCATCACCCCATCTGTGTCAGCGGAACAATTCCCTCCCCTCTGGGAAGGGCAGCAAAGGCATCATACCTGCGATGCAGAGCTGGCAGGATGCTTTGGTGGCTCCCCCCACCTGTGAAAATTGCTATAAAATATTTACAGCCAAACCCTAGGAATACACATGGCTGGAAATGAGGGGTCTAAAAATAAACGACACAGGGAAAAAGGAGAGAGATATAGGCTTCCTTCAGAGGCAGTTGGAGAGAAAATTGAAGTAGCCTCCAAATATAGAACACAATTATGGGAATCAAGGGGCATGTTGAACAAGAAATCACCACAAGAAATCATGAGGCTGCCACAGCTCAGAGCTAGCGGTGTCTCAGCAGATACAGAGCATCACAGTTCCGTGCAAACCATGGAGCAGTAAAACATCCCCCTGCACAGGGCAGCACTCGGCAAACCTGCAGCTCCTTTCCGAGGGACCCAGAGAGCGGACTGCGATGCTAATGCCTGGTGTGAAACAGCTGCACACCCCGAGCACACCTCAAGGTTTGGCCGCACCATTGCTCTGCACCCCAGCCCAGAACACAGCAGCAGGAGGCCCAAGAGCTGCAGCCGCCTTGTAATGCAGATGCTGCTGTCCCAGCCCTGGGTGGACTTCTCCATGAACAGAGCTCACCAGCTCACAGATGCTGAGGACAGACAGGCAGGGAGATGGGGTTGTTTTGGGAATCCAAAGGCCCCCCATCTCTCATCTATGTGGCTGGTTTCCCCAAGGATCCTCACCTTCTGTGACCTCCCACGTGTGTCCTTTCCAGGGGGTCAGGTGCTTCCTACCCATTCCTGTCCATCTCACCACACTCCAGGAGCTCCTGGAAGAGATAAGTTGGGGGACCAAAGGCAATGGGGAGTCGCAGCCTGTCCCAAGAGTAGCAGGAGAGTGGCGAGCTGCACGGTACTACTGCTTTCATCCAGCAAGGCTTGGGGCTGTGCAGAAGTGGGACATGATGTGTCCAAAGGTTACATGGCAAATGTCATCCAAATCAGCACTTGACCCTACTGCCTTTATCCCTAGTCCTAGACGTCTAAGACCTCCTTTACACATTGCTGTTGGGTCACATGGGCCCCGTGGCAGGAGGACAGGATCCTTTAGCCTTTAACCTTCTGGGAAATCAGCGTTGAGATGCCTTTATTCAGGGTGAAGTGCTGAGCCCTCTCTGGCTGGAGTCCCCACAGCACGTGCAATGGATGTTAAGGGTGGCCTGTGACCCAGTCAGGTCAGCTCCAAGGCAATGGGCATCCTGGGGGTGTTGGAGCAGAAGGAGCCTAGGATGTGGGTGTGCTTAGCCTGGCCTTCAGCATGGGCATCATTGTGAGGACCAGGGACTTCTCTCATGGCTCTTTGCATTCCTATGGTGTTGACTCAGACCAGTGTGTACCAGATCCCTCTCCTTCTAGGTGAGTTCAGCTGGGACTTTTGGGCACCTGTTCATCTCACTGAGCAGGAACAAGGGAGTGTGGTCTGAGCTGGACTGAGTCACAGGTCCAGCCTCAGGAACTGTGCTTCCTGTGAATACGCCGTATTCTCTGTGATTCCCCTACATGGGGGCTAGCCAGAGACACAGACTTGCCATGGAAGAGCTGAAGAAGGGACCTGTTTTGTGGGTAGGCAGATGTTGCATGGTGGCACAGCACTTGCAGAATTGCACCCAACACATCTCCACTCTACTGCAAAAGTCACTGAAATTGGTGCCAGAATGTGAAGTATGTGGCTTGCATCTTGGCCCTTCTTGGCACAACAGGAAGTTTCCGCAGGTGGGATGAAGGGGGATCTCCCAGTCTCCAGGTGGAGAAGAAATGGCATCCCCCCAGGAGACATGTGGGTAGCATCCACTCACCTCAGTGAGCTCCCACTCCTGAGCCCTGCCGTGAAGGTCAAATGTCCATGCCAGGTAGAAAAACACCCACCTCTGGGCCTCTAAAGGCAGAAATATGTTTACAGGACCAAAGCATCTCTCACATGAGGAGAGGCTGAGAGAGCTGGGACTGTTCAGCCTGGGGAAGAGAAGGCTCAGGGGGA